GGCCCGCGCCGCCGCCGTCCTGCCGGCCTGGGCGCTGGCGCCCGCGGCCCTGGGCATGCTGCTCGCCGCCTTGCGCCGCGCGCACACGACCGAGTCGCTGCTCGTCCTGCGCGGCCTGGGCATCCAGACCGGCTCGTCGGCCGCGACGTACAGCCTCGCCCCGCTGCTCCTGCCCTGGCGCTGGAACTGGCCCTGGTCGTGCTCGCGGCTGCCCTGGCTCGGGGACCGGGACGCCTCGGGGGCCAGCGGCGGCGGCGGCGTGAGCAAGGTGCGCTTCATACCGACGGCCAAGATCCGCGACGTGCTCATCAACGAGGCCTTCCGCGGCTTCGAGGTGCGGTACTACCTCGTCGTCGTCGTGGAGGGCGAGGAGGACGTGGTCGTCGTGTTCCCCAAGCTGCTGCCCCGGCGCGAGATTGTCGAGAAGGTGTGGAGGGGCGTCCGGGGCTGCCTCTACGAGCCCAGTGCCGGCCGGGTCGGGAACGACAAGAGCTGAGAAAAACCGTTGGTTGTCTGTCTTGTAATCGGTTTGTAGATAATCGGGTTAGAGTATCACTCGAGCGTAAATGTATAAAATGTGTATAGACTTTTTAGCAGCAAGCAATTCATCGTCTTGCCTGGTGACTTATTTATTTTACTAGTGGCCAGCATATCTAGGATGCCGACGAGATCAGTATCCCAAGACGTTCAGAAGGGGTCTTATTCCTCCATCGCATCGTCCGCCTTGCCCTTCTCTTTCATGTCCCGGATGGCGCTCCTCCAGTTGCCGACACTCCTCATGGCGTCGGAGCTCGCAAAGCCCTTCCGCTGCGCGAACTTGTCGTTGATCTCCTCCACCGACGGCATCAGGGGCTTCTGCATGACGGGTATGTACCTGCCCCCAGATCGCGCCGCGACACCCCCCTGATACAGCTTCTGGTTGGAAGGCTGGCCCTTCTTCTTGGAGTTGGTGTCGGCCGACGACGAGGGGCTCGGCTCGACCGCCTTCCTGCTCGCGCCGCCTCCGGTCCGGCTCGTGACGTAGTCGAGCAGCCGGTTGGACAGGATCTCGTCCATCTTGCGCTCGCGCCAGTACTGCCACACGTCCTCGGCCAGCCCGCACGAGCCGTGCAGGTTCTGCGCGCCGTCGTCGCCGACGTACACCCAGCCCAGCGCGTCGCGCCTCTCCTCCAGGTCGCCCTCCTCGGGGAATATGCAGTCCCAGAGCACGAGCGGCACCTCCTCGGCCATGAGGTAGCTCGGCTTGCGCGGGTTCTCGGCCACGTCCAGCAGCTCCGAGACGATGGAGGGCTTCTCGAGCCCCTGTCCCACCAGGAACAGGACGGCGATCATGTGCCGGATCTGGTGCCACAGGAAGGCCGTGCCCCGGACGTTGAACGAATAGACCTTGGGGTATTGGCCGTCCGGCATCGACGCCGGTTTGAAATCGGGCAGGCCGAGGTACGGCAAGACGGAATCAACGTCTCTGACCTCGACGACGTCCACCTCGAACATGCGCCGGACAAAGTTGGTGATCTGCTTGTTCGGGTCGACCTTGCAGAAATTGCGAAAGTCGTGCTCTCCGACAAAGGCCTGCGCCGCCTGCCTCATGGCCTCGATGTCGAGCCAGCCCTCCTTCAGGGCGCCCTCGACCGGCGGCCGATCGATGCTGGACGGCACGGGCGCAAACGCCGGCTGGGTGAAGAAGTAGCGGTACTGCCGCTCGCGGCAAGAAAACCGGGCAGAGAAGCCCGGCGGCGGGACAGGACACCACGCGATGGCCCGGATGTCCGGCGGCAGCAGGCGGTTCAGGATCCTGCAGTAGGGCAGCTCGTCTGCGACCGGGTAAGGCGCCTCCTCTTCTGCAGTCGACACAGGCCATTCTCCCTCCTTTTCCGGCTCGGTACCCGCAACCTCTCCGTTCGCTGCGGCAGCAGCAACATCCCCGACTTCTGTGGGCGGCGTTTTCCTCTTGCGCGCCGGGCGGTTACTCCTGACCCTAATGCCCACGACCTGGCCGAACGCGCTGACGCCCCTGTCCGTCCGCCCGCACTTGGAGTACTCGCATATGCTGAAGTCAACCTCGTGCGGCCTCTCGGGGAAGATGAGACAGGCCTTGACGAGGGCCTTCCACAGCTCCTCCTCGATGGACGGCTCCTTGCCCGAGGCCTGGTACTCGAAGCCGCTGTAGTTCTTGCCCAGGTACGCTATCTTGAGCGCGATGAACCTCGTCGTGTACTTTGACGGGTCCACCTCCTTCTTCTTCTTCTTGGGCGTGGACTTGGCCGACGCGGCGACGGGGCTCTGCTGGACGGGGACCTCCTGGCCGCTGGCCGTGAGCGACGACTTCAAAAAGTCGAGCTCGCTCTCCAGCTTCAGAACGCGCTTGATCAGGCTCTCCTTGGTCCATCTGGTGAAACTGCGCTCGTCCGCCATGGTGGCCGAGAAGAAGCGGACGTGTGCTCTTCTTGTAAGTGGGGATAGGGGACGCAGGCTGGCCGTCGCAAAAGCCCCTGGAGAAGCGGCTCGCAAGCAGCGAAGGGCAGACTGCTTCATTCGGGCGCAGACACGCCTCTTGCAACCACACGGCACCGACGGGCGTGTATCCTTCACTCTGTCGGGGTTTCTCAACCAATTCTTGGTGCGCTCCAGAGCAGTAACATGTTCGCCGAGTGTGTATTTTTACCTAATTCTCCTCTATAATTTTGTCACAGGGTGAAAAGCTGCGATAAGCGTCCACCCGGCTTATCGATAAGCCCACGCGCTCAGTGGTGCGCGGGATGAGACACCAGCACTACCGAGTATATAAATTGGCCATAGAGCGTGCATCAATTGATACACCAAATATCACTGGTCTCGCTCTCGCTCTACCAGAGCCAGTCCTCTCTTCTCGGATTGACCGGCGACAAACACGGCACGTTGCTTCATGGAGGCTCACAAGATCATAATTCTCTTGCTGGGAGATGAGAAAGTGGGCAAAACGACTTTTCTCTCGTATGTCATGTTCCCTATCTGATTACTCTATCTTAATACTTATGCTAAACCCATGTCTCTCTCGGAATAGCCGCATCAGCCAAGGACAGCAAAACCTGTCGGGCAGGGCGCCAGTAACGCTCCTTCGCGATCTGGACCAGCCTTTTGTCTTTGAACTGCGTTCTCGCAAGGCTGAATACCGCCTAGAGTTCCACGACAATGATGGACCGGAAAACTGGCGGCTTCTCCAGCCAGACCTTGTTCTCCTCTGTTACGATATAAGCCAACGGTTAAGCTTGATTAACATGCAGAGAGTAGTAGGTTGTCCCCTGTGACTCTCGTTCTTGGTAGGTCGTCTTCGTTAATGATGAGTGGCAGTGGATCAAAGAAGTCCGCAGTGCTTTCGAGACAAGCGACGTCTTGCCGGTGGTCGTGCTGGGCCTCAAGAGAGACCTCCGTTCGGAGGATGACCCCAACGGCATCATCTACCCCCAAGAAGCTTATCGCATCGCCCAGGAGATGAGAGCAGACAAGTATGTCGAATGCTCTGCGGCGACGGGAGAGCTGTTGCACGAGGCGTTTGAGGATATTTACCTCACAGCCGTCAAAACGACCACCGCCGAAGGTGGGCAGACGGAGGGAACCTGTACGATGATGTAGCATCGGCCAGCAGAGTGGTTGCCGATGCCAAAAATTTCAAGACGGAAGGCATTGGTGGTCTGCCTACGCAGCTTCTTCATCCGCCGCGCCCTCATCTCCCTCGGCAGTCTCCTCCGGGGCTGGGAAGGCGCCGAGGGTCTCGCTGATGATTCCCAGTACCTCTTCCTGCTGGTGGTCATACAGCCGCTCCACCATATCTTCGACGATGCAGTTGAGAGCAGGAATGGAACCCGGGCGGAGATTGATGATCATGATCATCTCGCCTTTCGTCAGGTCATAAGGGTGAAGCTTCTCGATGAGAAGAGGGATCGCTTCGGGGGTGTAGGTGAGCGGGCGCTGACTCAGAGGGTTTGGGTTCGTCTCGAGGTGCTCGAGAACCTAGTCGGAGGAATCCATGTCAGAAAGGTCTCACGGGAAAGAGTCGAATGATCCAGGCGGCTGCATACCTCCTTGACGAGAGTCTCATAGTTGGGGGGACCCCGCCGGCTCCGGTTGCCATCCTTGCGATTCTTGCGCTCGAGGAGGAACTGGTAGACCTCGTAGTTGGTCAGGACGGCGTTCTGGGCCTCGAGGATCTTCATTGTAGGCTGTTGGGCAGATGCGCCACAGCCGTAGGTGATTTGTCGAGGTCTCGAACACGAGGCGACTTTGGTGTGCTGGTGAGAAAGCTTCTGGAAACACGACGAGACACTCTACACCTTTTTTTCCTTCCTTGGGGTTGTCGGCAGAATTGATAGCAAATAGATAGGAAAAGCTTCATTAGTGGACACCGCCTAGGCGGTTCAGGGTGGTGCCCCGCGGACTGGTGCGACAAAAGCGCTAGTTAGGTGCAGCACGGCTGCTTGCCCAATGATAGCCAAGCCAATTGGGGGAATCATTCTTTACAGTGCCTCCAACATGCTTTGACGCACAGCACCCCATCACTAACTAACCCAGCGTGCCCAGTTAGCCATGTAGGTAACTCCCTACATTACCTAGGTAAGTTGACTTTTGCTTTTGAATGAGCTGTCTAGGTAGTGGACCAAATGGGAGACATGATGGGAAAAGAAAGCAGTTCATCACTGCACTGTAGCCCCATAACAAACGAACTCTACAATGCTCTACGAGGTACATGTGCAAGGTCTTACTCTTTATCCTCAAGGTGCTTGGTGTACTACCTTAGGTAGGTAACTAAGTTTCGTACCTAAAGCAGCCCTGGAGATGGCACGCTATGACTCGGGTGCAGGGGGGAAAAGCACGACATCCACCACCGGGAATAGCCCGTGTTCTTAACCGAAGGGAGGATTCGCCAATAGCCAATGCAATGCACACTTACAAGTACTTTGGTTCGCACTTTACACTTGTTCATTGAGTCACCTCGGTTGGTTTGCTTCAAACTTGTTGGGTGCGAATTCGCATCTTGAAACTCTTCTGAGCATTCTATATTCTCTCCTTCATCCACCTTTTGACTGTCTGACCAACAGCTGCTTGTTGTACCGCAGGCCGGAGCCTAAAAAAAGCATACCGAGTACGGGCAAAAACAGCAGTCATTGGCGGGCGCTGTTCTCTGACGTCGGCGCTGGCCCTCAGGCGACCAATCGCTGTGAGCCTGCCCCAGCATCGGCTAAACGGTATCGGAGCGCGGGGGCAGAAAAAAAATATCATCAGAGCGACAAGGGAGCAAAAAAAAAAGAAGAGCCTCCACTTTGCATCACACATCACAGAGCCTCACCGCAAACATCCTGCTGTTGCCTCGCAGCCAATTGTCCCATTTACTTGGGCCTGAGCCCCTCTAGCCTCTCTCCAGAGCCCCCTGAGAGACTTTGTTTCCTTGTTTCCCCTCGCTCATAGTCAGCTCCCGTCCAGTCCGGGCCGCTTCACCTCTTGGACCCCGCCAAGCTCGATTTCCATCCCGCGCCCGCGAATCCATCCGCAACCGCACCAGCAACCCGCAACCCGGAAGCAAGTCATCCTCTCCAAACAACAGTCGACAACATGGTACGCAACATCGTCATCCTTGGTGGCAATTCCCACCCCAAGCTCGTCGACAGCATCTGCGGCACCCTTGGCATACCAGCCTGCCAGCGCATCCTCGGCCGCTTCGAGGTCGGAGAGAGCAGGTGTGAGATCAAGGACTCGGTCCGAGGCAAGGATGTCTTCATCATCCAGACTGCTGGTCCTGGCCAGGTCAATGACCACTTTATGGACCTGTGCATTATGATCTCGGCCTGCAAGACCGGTTCCGCCCGCCGAGTCACCGCTGTCCTTCCCTTGTTTCCCTACTCGAGGCAACCCGACGTGCCCTACAACAAGAGCGGCGCCCCTCTGTCTAAACCCACTGCCGAGCCTGCGAAGAAGGATTATACCTTCGAGAGCGTTCCTGCCACCCCTGCGCCTGGCATCGCCAAGAGCGCCGGTCTCGCTTCTGGTGTCGACCTCTCCAGAATGCTCAGCAAGACCTCCATATCCAACGGCAACACCGACTCTCCCCAGACCAACGGCACCAATGGCGTCACCCGGAATCATGCCGACTCGGTCGAGTCAAGTTCGGGCGGCTTCACCACCCACGACTACGAGAACATGTCCGTCATTTCCTCCTTCCAGGCCAAACCCGGCTACAAGCGCTGGGTTGCCCAGGCGGGAACGCTCATCGCCGACCTTCTGACCTGCGCTGGAGCCGACCACATCATCACCATGGATCTTCATGATCCCCAATACCAGGGCTTCTTCGACGTCCCGGTAGACAACCTCTACGGCAAGCCTCTCCTCCAGCGATACATCCAACAGCACATCCCCGATTACCGGGATCACATCATCGTCAGTCCCGATGCCGGCGGCGCAAAGCGTGCCACCGCCATCGCCGACAGCCTCTCTATGGAATTCGCCCTCATCCACAAGGTAAAGTGAACTGACTTCTCCTGCTTGTTCCACACTCACCCATAGCCTCCAGGAACGTCGCCCGACCAAGATCACGGAACGCCAAAACGCCACCATGATGCTCGTCGGCAATGTGAAGGGACGCGTCTGCATCCTGATCGACGATCTGGCCGATACTGCCAACACCATCACCCGCGCAGCCAAGCTGTTGAAGAAGGAGGGCGCCACCAAGATCTACGCCCTCATCACCCACGGTGTCCTGAGTGGAGATGCCATCCCCCGCATCAATGCCTCGGCCATCGACAAGTTGATTGTCACCAATTCCGTCCCTCAGGATGAGCACCAGGCTCAGTGTCCCAAGCTGGAGGTGCTGAACATCTCGGCTGTCTTCAGCGAGGCCATTCGCCGCGTCCATCATGGCGAGTCCATCAGCGTCCTCTTCTCGTACGACTAGAACAGGCCGTTTGGTGCGTATCTCGTTCCAGCGCTTCTTCGTCTCTGAAGACCAAACGGGATGAAATTGTCTCCTCTTGTTCCGATTAATATCCGCGGTAATCATTTGTTTCCCCGGCATCAGAACTAGGAGAAGAACAACCACAATCCCAACCCCCTCCCTTTGCATCAGAGGACTTGCAAACACACAAGTCTTCTTCCGGACCGATCGTTACCTCTGTTTCGGCATCAGAGTCTCTCTTCTTTGGGCGTTTATTCAAGGTTTACAAAGGCATAACCACGGGCGTAGAAACAAAGATCTTTGCACCCTTTCCACACACACACGGAGTCAGTTGACAATTATATATCTTAGAGGGGGTGCGGCAGTCTACCTTTTTTGTTTGCTTCTTTTCATTTGCACGGAAAGGGAAGTTTCCGACTGTTGGTGGTCTAGGCAGCATGATCTCCAGCTTGCTATACATACCACATCCGTAAAATCCCATCAGTAAAACACTGTGCTCCTGGATGCATGTCCCGAGTGCAGTGAGAGACAGCATATAGAGACAAACGGGCCAGCGGCCGGCCGTCCCAGCAGGACCACTCCTGTCGGCCGGAGTTCCGCGCTGTTTTTTAAAATCACACTAGATCTACTTATCAAGGGATTGTTGCCAAAATCAAATGTTGCTATGAACAGTTCATGCATGTCTCTGGACCTGTTCATGTCACTCAGAATGTTTGAATGCAAAAAGGGGGAAGGATGGATGCAATGACAAGGTTGATTCCATCTAGATGCCACATAATGTGATATGTGGTCAAAGCAGTAGCACTAGTATCTCTTTTGAACTTTTGCACAAGTCTCAGAAGGCCCTTCCTGTTCCCAGTAGCCCTTCTTTCCCTGTGCCACCAAACAAGCCCATTCCAACATGATGCCACATACTACGATATGTGGTCAAAGCAGTATCTCTTGTGAGGAAGTCCTACAAGTCCCAAGCAGCACTTCTTCTAGTAGTGCCCAACATCTCATCGTCATGCCAAATGTCGGCAGGGAGAAATGCATCCCATAACGAAGAGTCGAACATCATGGGCGACGATACCAGTCAGTGACCACCTACAAACAGTGAAAAAAAAAAAAATAAAAAAAAAAAGAACACAAACAAAAGAAAAGCTTGAGATGTCAAGCCGGGACACCAAGCGCAACACACTCTTCTCCACCAAGGTGAATAGTCGCCGTGATGACGCCCAGCAGCAAAGAGATGCCGGTGTTGCTTTCCCTTAGGCACCTGATCTGGCAGCGCTGAAGCCAGTGACCATCTTCTCAATGTCTTCGGGAACCGTCCATCCATGGGTTCTGGCAGAGCGTGTATAGGCATTGACAGCCTCACGGATGCCATAGTCTGTCCGAGCGCCAGACATGGCGGACCTATCCAGGCGCGCCGGCTTGGGATCCGTCGACATGATAGCCATGCGGACCTGCAGGAGGACGCTCTCGATGGAGCTGATGGGCGTCCAGCCCGAGTTGGTCAAGAGCTCCATGCACATGGCTCCACCCGCCGTGACGTGGCCGCCGCCGCCCTGCATGAAGGGCAAGAAGCGCGGCCGGATGACGCGCACAAAGGGCGGAGTGTACGGGTACTGTTCTCCAAAGCGGATCTCGCAGACGACGGAGGTCAGGCCGGCCATCTTCAAGTCGGCGGCCAGTGGCAGAGAGGGGTCAAAGCTGTGCAGCTCAACGATCCACTGGTACATGTTGTCCAGCTGGTCGAAGTCGATGTACCAGCCCAGTTCGTGCAGAGGCGTTCGGCTCTGCAGGGTCTGCAGTTGGCTGACCTGGAAGGTGATTTTTTTCAAGCCAAGCTGGGAAGACCACTGAGGTGGCTGGAGGCGAGGCAAGCTACCCAAGTCGAGAGTACCAGGTCGGAAATCGGTCTTGGATGTGTCGGTTGACCTATATCACACATTTGTCAGTTTACCACAGCGTGAGCAAGGTCAGGGGTCTACTACTTACAAAGAGGGGGGGGACTCATCGTCTTCTGAGGCCAGGAGTTCCGTGTCACTATCATGCTCATCAGAGGAGTTATCCGAGACGTCAATCACCTCTGGGCTGGTCTGAGATTTCTCGTGATGGTATGAAGGAAGGGCGGCCAGTGGGATGTTCAGGGGATGTCCGAGTGGATCTATGGCCGTCCGGGAGGGATCTTGCTGCAAGTACTTGGTGTCCCTAGCATTGCCTGGATGCGATGGATAATTCGAGTAAGGCTGACTATATTGGTGACCTTCCGGGGGGTTCTTTTGCGCTGCCTTCTCCTCTGGGGTCTCCTCGCTCTTGACAAACAAGAATCGACACATGTGCCAGTTCGGCTGCGACACTACCAGATGCGGGCTGGTTGAAACGAAGTCGCCGGGCGAGTTCACAATCTCATTGAGGCTTATAGCAGCGACGATTCGTAGGTCCGAGTTTGGCCAGATCCCCTAAGCAAGTCCATCATTATTAGTACGGCAGTCAGAAAAGTTAAAGTTCCCAGCGCTTGAAATTTCTCAAACTTACAAAGGATAGCTGAGAGGAGCGTGTATAGGACAGGCTTGTTCCAAATACAGAGCTGAAATAGACGCCATGGCCATATGCTCGTCCATTGTGTGTCTCAGCATAGTTCAGCCCCGTGCGGACAATGGAGTGCCAGTTCGGTAAGGCGCTTCCATGCCAGGCGAATATTGAAGGGCATGTGAGGTGCTTGGAGCGCCTGACACTCTCTCGCGCGTTTTGAAACAGGGATTCTTTGTCCGGGGAGCCTTGGAGGAAGCGGAACTGCACCCAGCCTTCCATGCCCGGTATGATACCTCCAGACGCCGGTGCACTGCTGTTGTTGCCTGGGAGCTCGGGGTTGCCAGTCTCAAAGATACAAGATCGGTTTGAAGCTATGATCCAGTTCAGCAAGGACATCGCCGCTGGAGAGATTCTCGGCATGTCTTTGACTTTCGAGAGCGGATTCTGGTCAAGGAACTTCTTGATGTCTGAAATGCTCGGCAAGGTTGCTAGGAGGTGAGCCATCATCAACCTCTTCGCTCCTTGTCCAAGCTGGTCAAACTCTTGAACATAAGGGAGGAGACATGCTTGTCCCTTGGCCGCTTTGTGAGCGTCAGCGCGGGGGCTTGACCAGGATCCAGTGTCAATGCCAGGCTCGAGATGAATTCTCTGATTCAAGTAGTCTATCGACTCAATTTGGCAGTGAACCAGATCTCCTGCTTCAGCTCGATGGGTTGGTTCTTTGCCAGGGACCGGGGTTGGGACCGGTGTTAGGACCGGTGTTAGGGGCCCGAGTTCTCCAGGGGGTGTGTTCAGTCGGATAGCAACCCATTGTTTTGGAATGAACCGGTCAAGGTGCTCAGCTGCAACCTGAAACTTGAAAGTCTGAAAGTCATCAGTGATGGTGCCTTCAAGGAAAGGACCTTCCGGCTTCGGCCTGATATCTGGGACTCTGAGGTGCAGCCCGACAGGGAACTCGCGGATGCCACACGATACTGGGTTGGCTGCTGAGCGGTTTGCCGTCAAGCCGGTGTAGCAGAAGCTCACGAGGAGGTCGACAACCTTGGGTTGAGATCGAATCTCATGCTCTGCACTGGGTCCAAGTCCCATGGAAAGATATTGAAACAGACACAGGGGGTTCGAGCAAACATATGGCTTCAGGGTCTCGATATCGCCCTGCACTCTCCGGTGGCACCTCAAGCAGTACCTCGTACAGGCAAGAAGGTATCGCATGGCAAACTGCATAGCAACCAGAGGCCAGCTTCGTTGGCCATCCTTCTCATCACCCAGGTGATCATGTCTGAACCTCTGGGGAGTCTCGGTGCCCGCAAATGCTGGATCAGTTTTGCAGGGCGTGGTTGTGATGTTGGTGTGCGCCGTGTCAGTGCCGATCTGGAAGTTCAGAAGCACCTCATTCGCCTGGTCCCAGGAGATGCCCTCAATGTCACGGATTTTGATGAGATTCAAGAGTCCCTCGGCAAGGAACTGATCCAATGAGTTGGAGATGAAGATTTTCTTGAGCTTTGCTTCTCCCTCATTCGCTCCCGAGGCTGGGGAGTTGTCGTCGGTCGGGCTATGGAAAGCTCTCAGGGCTTCCATGAATGATGGCTTGTAATGCGCGCATTTTCCAATGCGAAAATGAGCTCGTCGCTCAGGGTAGGGCTTGGGATGGACGATGTCTTCAAGGGTGAGATATGGGCCGGTCTGGTGGATCAAGAGCACGACATACTCTTCGGGGCGGATGCCCCAAACCTCAAGGGTTCCCTCCGGCAACTTGAATTTGCTCGCACGAACCGAGATCGAGACAATGTTGTTGGTAGGCGCCGACTGGATGATGCCAACTTTGTAACCGTGTTGCCTAGCGGTTCTCAGATCCTGTTTCAGGCGCGGATGCAGCTTTTCAGCCTGGGCGTCCAGATCTCCTGGGTCATCCTGGTGGATGCCAAACAAATCGTCACCGTCATCCTCGTCGTAATCGTCATCATCGGAGCCATAGTTGTAGTCCTCCTCAGTGTCGCTCGCAGCATCATCTGAGGCTGGGCCGCCTGTTTGTAAATCTCTGGTGAGAGACCTGCTGAGGGTGATGATCATGGCATCGACGTCGAGTCCTGTCGACTGGTCTTGCAGGCGCGCCAGAGTAGCAGCCAAGGCGGCAGGGATGTCCTCATTCTCGGTGAAGATCAAGAACGATGCTTTCTTAGGATATTCGCTGATGTCTATAGCTTGTCAGGATCTCGTCCTATCAAATATTGGGTCTGATGTTCAAAGCTCAAAGCAGCCTCATGTTCATCCGTTCAATGCCGACACGGGGATTGCTCTGAAACTATTGCGTGGTGACTGAGGAAGCAGACAGATTACTTACTAGGAATGAGCACCTGAATGCGCAGAGGTGTCTTGAGGTTCTCGTTTTCGTAGGTGATGGAAAGCTCGCCATCCGATTCTCCCTTTCTAAGAGAGATGATCCTGTCGAAATGCTTTGCCTTCACCTTGGAGACAGCAGCCGCAAGGTCGGCGTTGAATTGCTTCAACGTCATGACGATCGGCACAAGGAGATGTACTGTGATTCAAGGTTCCACAGACTGGAGGAAGGATGACGACTTGGCGCTGTTGGAAGGCGTATTTGCAGAGTTCTAAGAAGGTTGGTGCAGAGACTTTGCGTGAGTCGATGTGGTTTAGATATACCAAGTTTTGACTCAACGTCCACTGGGCAACAAACTCCCTGTTACCTTGAGACTTGGTTTGACAGAACAAGATGTTGTCACGTCCAGGTGAGACGCATAGGAGGAGGCTGTGGTGGTGTGATTGAGGAGACACTGTAAAGGGTCTGAGATGATTGTGAGGAAAGGGTAAGAGGGAGAAAGAAAGGCCTATGATACTGGCTTGTCGACCAGGGTTGAACGTACCACACTGCTCCTTAAAGGTGTTCAAGATCACTTGACCTTGACTATGTATGCAGTTAGATGAACAAGCCACCTTCAGAGAGAACGGTGGGAGTGGGCTTGAACAATCAACCGGTTCAAGAATAGGACAATGCACCCTTGTCAAACGAGACGGTGCATAGCAGTGGCTTTGCTGTTCAGTAGATTTCCAGAGGTTCCCCAGGCTGAGACCAGGTAAAATATGACAATGGGCTTGAGAGGGACACAGTAAAATAAAGCGACATGGCCGGCTCGGTAGGCCCAACAGGATAGGAAAAATGTAAGACAGGATGTTCGCAAGCAGGCAGAGACCGGCTATCGAATTGAGACGGGATCCGTTGACAGACAATCTACCAAGACTCCATCTCTTGCTCTGCGGGACAAGAGAGAGTGCGTTGGTTTAGCGACCAGTTCCATGGTTGCACCTGCCTCAATCCAACTCAGGCCTGCAGGTTCCGCGGACCAGAGAAGCTCCAGGGCTGGGAAAGCCATCCAATTGCCAGGGCTGGGCTGAATGTACCTAAATGTATCGCACAACAGGCCGGGATATCGCCCGCATGCAGGCCAGGCACCTACCTACCTTGCAGGCAGCTGGCCACCAAAATCACTCTCGCATGTCGATGCGGTAGACAAAATATCTGAAACGCAGTGCATATCTCTCCAACAGAATGGCCCATGGCTTAATTTGACTGAAAAAAAAACAGACAGACATAAGTCTGAGAGGGGGTTCGAAGCCATAACGACGATGGCATCAACTTCCCGACCTTGCATAACGTATTTGCCTTTTCTGCCTCGTCCTCATGCAGGAGGTTGTTTACTGGCCCGTTCTGCTTACCTAAATACCTAAAAGTAGCTAGGTACACTGTGCTTGGTCTGGTCAAGTGCGCACTTCTTACTTCTTATCGATAAGGTGCCATCTCAGGTCTATTGACCAGACTGGACTGGACACATGAAGACCTACAAGTATGTACATTTGGCGTCTGGATTCACAAGTGGAACATCCCAAGCAGACAAGCAGATCTCTTTCAAGGGGACAAAGGGTAATTCCTCTGAGGGCATTATCTAGTGACAAGAAAACGCCTCATCCTTTGTGAGGGCTATTTGAGCGGCGGGCTGTCCTCATCATTATCTCCACGCCACCTATTGCGAGCTCCCCACACCAGGACCAGATATGTCTTGGGACTCGAGATCACGGCGCCGCCAGAACAGCACCGCTTCCTCCAGATCTCTGCCCAGCCATGCCCGCCAAAAGTCCAAGCAGGTCAGCCAGCCAAAATCAGATCATGTCTCCGATCCCTTCCTCCAGGACTTCCTGGCCTCCAACTTCGACCCCGCAGAGTACCTAAACGCCACTCTGCCGCCGCTTCAGACCAGCAGCAGCGCCCGCCCGGGCAGTCAGGCCTCAGCAGCAGCAGGCACGGCGGCCGCGGTCCCCCTGTCCGAGCTGTCGACGCAGGCCCAGACGAATCTCACGCAGCTCAATGCCCACACCACCCGCCTCACTGCCACCCTGACCCAGTTGACCGACGAGATCCTGAGAAGCGGCAGCCGCCTCGCCTACGAGGTCGAGCTCCTGCGCGGCGAGACCCTGGGCCTCGCCGAGACCCTCACCGACGGGCTGCAGGACGAGGTCGCCCAGTTCGTGCCCGGTGGCATCAGAGACGCCCCCGAAGTGGCGGCGCGGCAACGGCGAGCCTCCATCGTCAGCCGGGCGCAGACCGACGCTGACGCAGCACCCCACGGGGCCGAGCCGAGCGAGGCAGCTCCCACGGCAGCGGCGGCACCGGATGGCACTTCCGACCCAGAGTACATTGCTCACCTGCGCACGCTGACAGTGGTCCGCTCGAGGCTGGACTCGGTCATCAAGACCTTTGGCGACGCCATGGAGTTCGTCTTCCCGCCCTCCGAGATCTCCGTCAGCTCCTCGTTCCTATCTGTCTCCGGCCCGGACCCCGGCCCGGAGATGCACAGCACGGAGGAGAAAGGCCAACGGGTCCTCGCGAAGCTGCGGGAGGAGGTGGCGGCGCTGTTGTCCCCCAAGGCCGCAGCAGGCACGGCGGCGGACCCAATCAAGGGAATAGAGGATGCGGCGCGCCGCATTGAGGAGCTCAAGGAGCTGACCCGCGTGTGGAAGGGCACGGCCGAGGAGAAAGGACGGGCCAAGTTCATTGAGAGTCTGGCCAAGATGGTGGAGGACCGACATCGCGAGCTGCTGAGGGAGGTGGAACAGCAACAATCGAAAGCAAGTCGGAGCGGCAGCGACAGCCCGGCTGGTAGAATGGGTGGTGCCGGCGCCAGTGATTCTGGCGGTCCGGGTGACAGCAAGGGCTATGTGGGTGGGTATGGCTTGATACAACAGTTGCAAAAGATCAGGAGTGGGCTATGAGCTCCCAAAACTGTATATTCGGAAACTCGAAGCGAGCAAAACTACTATGGCCTCTTTCGCCGCGGTTGATATGAGTGTTCCGTCACTTAACATGGAACCTTGGATTTGTGATGGTAGCCAGTCTATTTCGAGAGAGGAAAATCAACAAGGCAGCCGAAAGGGGCATCGAGTCGCTTGCAACCACACATTAGCCACACCCATGCGAACAAAGTGTACAGTCTCTATGCTTTCGTATTGATGTTTCAGAGTTTGGGAGGCATATCGTCTACGGTTGTCTGAACTCACAAGGTCCGCACTACTCGGAAATACACGTTTTCATTGCACCCAAGACCTCTCGGGCTATGCACCTGCAAAATGCCACTCTCGCCACCAGTCTTTTTCTGTCCCATGTTCTAGAGCAAAATATCGCCACCATAACTCCTGCAGCCGGATGCAAATGCTAGTAGAGGTTTTAAAAGCAATCGTCATGACAAGGGGTACGATCATTTCAGCCGTGTAGTGCTGAACATCATGTTGGGGGAAAACAAAAAAGCATACCACCACAGCCCAAAATTGCCTGAGCAAAGATGTGGACTAGGCATGTTAACCTGGCAGATGACGTGATGCCATGTATCAAGCTGCCGTCTTGTCTCAAGATGCCGCTGAGACAAATGCCAGGTATTTACGGCCGCCGCAAAGGGCTTCCTGGTCAGAGTGGATGAAAGTGACGCCCGTTGGAGGTTCTCCTGTTGACAGAAACATGTAGGCAGTCCTTTGCCATCCGGGTGAAAGTGGCATCCAGGGGCTTTTGCTTCCTCCGGTCGGAGACAAACTGAGCCGCGGGATCCCGACTCGAGGTGCATGTTACCTCTTCATAGTCGAGCGACTCAGGGCCTCCTGGAGCTCGGGTCGTTCCTTGAGGGCCTCATGAGCCTGAACGTACGTCATCCACTGCCGCTGCCTCTTGTCCTTCTCGGGCCAATCCTTCTCTTCGCTCAGAACTGTGGCTTCGTAGAACCGATACAGCGCCTTCTCCCGCTTTTTAGACGGTTTCGAGGAAGGTTTGGGCGCCCTCGTCTCGACAATCTCGCCCAGGTCGTAGTCGATCTGTATGACGATGCCGGCCTCCTCCCAGGCTTCCCTCGCCGCTGCATCGGTACATTCCTCGTCGCTCTCCCATCCGCCTTTCGGCAGGACCCATCCTTTCCTGCGCGTTGACTGGATGAGAAGCACCCACGACTTATCCGCCGTCAAGGGGACGACCCCGGCAACTAGCCGCTCGCCTTTCGAGTTGTAGCCTAGAGTACTGAATTAGCTTTCTGACACCAGGGTGGCTGGACACTCGACCGACGACGAGGTGTTTTCCTCAACAAAAGGTTTCAAGACTTACGCTGCTTGCTTCTTCCCGTCCTGGACTCCATCGAGCGACTATTTGAGGCCATTTCTGGTTTCCTCGAGACCCTGCTGTCCTGAATTGACGTTCTTGTCGACACTGGATCGAGTAAAGATTGCACCGGAAGCGGGATTGAAAGTGCCCTCCTGGTATGACTATGGAGTAGCCGGAGATGTTATCCAATTTTCAGAACATATTGAACCCGATTGCCGTATTGTGAAATCTGGAGCGAGTGGTAGTTTTCGAAGGACAAGGCGCAAATGTGCAACCAAGTCGTAGTCGGTACTGATTGCCCGGGCCACGCAACGCTGAGGATGGATCGGCCGTGTCCAAGGTCGAGCTCGCCGCTATGTGGAAGTCGAATTCAATAAGATCACAAATCCTGTAGGCGCAGGTTTGGTAGGAACGAGAGCGAAGCTTGCGCCACAGCAAGAGGGCTACCAATGACAGCCGCGTCTCTTGACGTGTGGGAAAGAAAAAGAGCAGAGAAGGGGACAGCCTTGAGCAAAAGTAGTTCTAGAGCCCTGAAGCGCGCTCGACAACGAGATTGCAGACTCTCAAGGGCAGAGGCACAACCGTAATGGGGTCGGTGCTTCCTAAATACCCTCGCGAGTGGACACAAGGGAACAGGCCAGGGCTGCGCGCGCAACGAGAAAGAGCGGCAACAGCAGGAACAGCACCTCAGCAACAATGAAACTTGGGCGCGTCTAGGCGTGAGAAGGCAACCAGGGCACCGCCTTGGAAACTTGGTGAGGATCAGATAAAGGAATTGGGCAAGAATTGTTCGAGCACTCTCCTGGCTAGAGAGCCGTGGGCAACAAGAGAGTCTCGTGCCATAGCAAAAAGATGGAGGGGGGACACGACGAATTTAGAGTTGGTTTATATATGTACTGAGACAGGGAAAAGAGCTAGGCAGTCCGTCAGACCAGACGGGTTTGGCCTCAGGGTCCGGCAGCCAGGTTTTGTCAGGAAAGTAGAGTACTTGCTCGAGGGAAGTACCCTCCTACCTTTGGCCCTCGGTTGCATGGGCGACGTCCGCGGGTGGGTAGCTTCACTGGGGAGTTATGGTACCTACCTACGGAGTAGCAGGTGACTTTTGTTCCTTAAATCCCTCCCACGCTTCCAGCCAGGCTTTCCACTGGTGCCGGACTTTAGTTCCTGAAGGTGGTGGTTGGCCGTGGTGGTTCCAGAGAGGGGCCAACAGAATTTGGGAGGGAGGAAGATGGAAGAAAGAGGTAAAAGGGTTGAAAAAAATGAATCGTCCCAGAAAAAAAAAGATAGTTTGGGGCGCAGATAGGTAGAGGGTCACACAGATGCCTTTCAGTCCGACCCTCCCAGGCACCAGGGGCCAGGTATGACACTATCTGGACACCACCGCTAAATATGTTCTGCAGCGTGCGTGTGTCCTGGTAGCGAGCGACTTTTGGGCCTGGACTCGGCAGGGAGACGACAGGCCGGGAGCGAGGTACACTGGTACATGCAGTGAGTAGTAGCTCTCCAACTCGGTTGCCGCACAGGTACCAGCCTGGACGCTCTTTGCCCTGAGACAAAGTAAGTACCTTCACTTCTAAGTGTGCCCCGCGATTCCTTTTGATTGATTTGGGCGGCTGCTGGCACAGAAAAAGCGTGGGGTGCACCACGTTCTGCCTACGTGCATGCCACTCCAAGCCCAAGCTTCTTCTGCAGGCTTACATCCATAAATGGGAATGTAAAAGACAGGCCTTGATTCGTGTCCATTCAAGTTTGCTTTTTGTTGATCCGCGGGCATGTGAGGCTTCGACCTCAAGGTATCACTACCTACAGCAGCGAGGCCCCCAACTTTACCTCGAGAGCGCCAGCCAGAGTGACAGCCTAAACCCTACCTGTTCAGAGATTGTGGAGAAACACGTTTTTTCCCTCCCGTGTAGGTAGTTATGTGCCCTGCCTGGCAAGCCTCAAGCTGCTTTCCGTGTCTGATCGTGTGCTCAATCGTTCTTCTGTTAACATAGGACTTGATGGCAGCAGGCTTGCGCTACTGACAATGACGCCCGTGTGCAGTTAGTGAATCGCATAAGAACAAGCTCCCCTTGTCCAGCTGTCCTGTCACAAGGGATCCACGGAAGCAAGGTACCTAGAGGTAGGTAGTAAGTACAGTACATTTGAAGCATAAAGGGCCTGGTACAAGAGCATTTTAGTCGCTCCAGTACGTACAGCGAATGCGAGCCCCACGACCCGTGCTCGGCTTTTCTCTCCGTGCTTCGTGGTTCGCGGTTCGCGCGACCACTTGGGTTGATTAACCCTTCCCGACCTTACCTTATGTACAAGCTACGGAGGTACTCAAAGCTGACTGACGTGCCTCGACTACCAACGATATAGCCATTTTCCAAGGTTATACAAGTAAGGTTCTTCTTGATCTGACCGACGATCTCTCTTGTCACTTTCCCGGCCCCGACAGCAGATCCGTTGGTGTGGAGGACCAGAACGTCAGCAGGCGACCTCAACCACACAACTCTCCCACTGACGTAGGCCATCGTTTATCTCACACCTTGTCACCGACAAGAGATATCTATCCATCTGCCAACCCGCGACGGACGACGTCTGTCTCTGAGAAGCGGCCAGCTACCTAGCTCCACTCCCAACTGCTGCCCGGCTCTTCTCATATTTCCCTTGCCCACCTTTCTCCCACCTCAGCTTTCCCTGTCTCCCGGCTATGTGCTTCTTCCCATCGATCCCCTGAGAAACCCCCGCCCAACAGCAAGACGGCGGAAGAGAGGAAAACGAGGCGGCCCACTCGCCTAGGCTGACCCTAGGGCAATCATGGCCGACGACGACGCGATCATGCATACACCCCCTGACGCTGCGTTCTCCTTTGTCTCCCCAATTGGTGAGTTAGCGCCCGTCCTCCTTGTGTCCCCTCACGCTGCACCCTCCACCGCTCCCATCCAACCATCTCAACCCGTGCCGAATCGACGCCCCGCCAGTGGCCGTCGACTTCGACTTCATCTATCAAATGCATTCCACTTACACTTGCTTGCCTGCCCATCTTCCCAACTGCACCCGTCAACAGTCACTCTCGACTGCAGTCAGATCCCACGCCCATTACCTACATTTTCGTCAATCCTATCAATCAAGTGAACGAAAGCCGGCAGTGGATCGCAAGGTGTCCTTGGCTCATTACGTTATCCCATTGCGTTGCGTTCTTGGCATTGACAGAGCCTCATGGCCGCCCCCTTTCCATGGCCTGCCGAGCGATGGATCGATCGTTTCTTGGGCTTGTATGATGTCGACTTGACTAATGGATATTCCCTGTAGGTTATTGTAGCTCTTCAGACTGCGGGTATTGCCGCCGCAGCCGTGGAGGTCAGTCCCGAAAACGTGAATCACTTCCCCTTTCATCCCTATCGAGTGCTGTTCTGCACGTGTGCTCTTGTTGAGCTCGGGCTGGTCGCGTGACGCCTAGTTGCCAAACGCCGCCAGCTCGCTACACTGTCCTGATCGAAATGGACGCCGTGTTTGACCAGAGCATATCCTGACAGTCATATCATGTTTGCTTAGGATTCTCGTACTATGCTTCTGCGTCCTCCATAACCTCTGGGTTCTATCAAACCCTTATAGATCGAGGCTGGAGGCGTTCGGGAACCCTTCTTTACAGACCGAACCAGAAAAACGCGTGTTGTCCCCATTACACGCTTCGGCTTGACTCTACTGCCTTCATCTCCACGAGAGATCAACGCCAGACGGTTAATCGATTCAATCGATATGTCCTTGGCGATACGTACCTCAAAGAAGCAGCTCGACGCTACCCTCGGTCTCGCGAAGAGACCAAGAGGCGTGATCAACATTTTGATCTCGTTGAGCGTATCCACGAAGCCGAGAGTTCCCATTTGAAAACACCCTTGGAACCAGCGCATGATTTCGTTGTCACACTCGAAACAGACGACTTCACAGATGAGAAGTATGCCGTCTTTGAGAACTACCAAAGGACAGTCCACAACGAGCCGCCTAGCAGGATCACGCCGAATGGTTTCAGGAGGTTTCTTTGCGACTCGCCCATCAGACGGGAAACGACTGCAGACCCGGATGGACAGGAACGGAAACTTGGTTCGTATCACCAATGCTACAGGCTTGACGGCAAACTCGTCGCGATTGGTGTTCTTGACCTGCTCCCTCACGCCGTGAGTGCAGTTTATTTCCTCTACGACGAGTCTTTCCACAAGCATGCTCCGGGCAAACTCGGTGCGCTGCGAGAAATTGCTCTTGCCAGCGAGCACGGGTACAAATGGTGGTACTCGGGCTACTACATCCACAGCTGCCCAAAGATGCGGTACAAGATGGACTATTCACCGCAATACGTTCTGGATCCAGAGGCGCTGCAATGGGATCCTTTGGACGCCGAAGCTCTGGCCATCTTCGACAAGAAGCAATATGTCAGCCTCTCCAGAGAGCGGAGAGCGGCTGATGACATGGACACATCGGAGGTAACCAAACAAACGGACGCGCAGGCTGGTGTAAATGACAGCAGTGAGCGCATCGGAAGCCAGGAAGATGAGGGAGATGAGGATGACGATGACGATGAAGACGAAGACGAAGAGGGCAGTTTCTTACTGGGTAGCGATATGCCCGGAATTCTGTCACTTGAAGAGGCCGAGCAGCTAGACATAGACCACATCCCTCTGAGGTTGGATACCGGCCGCGGTCTCTACCTAACGCAAGATCTGACCATCTGGAGTTCGGATACCATTCGCGACCACGGCTCTTTGAAGTCGAGGGTGGCCGAGATGGTTGCGGCGATGGGACCCGATGTCATGGACCAGATTTGTCTCGACTTCAGGAGGAACAGATCTGGCTAATACCTGCCTCGTTCATACTTAAATCATTCTCAACGTATATATTTCCTGCAGTGGCATACCTGAGCTTGCTTCCCACCGCAAGTTCATCGCGGAGTGGCTTGCTTGATTCGATACAAGAAGACTCTAATAGCGTAGAATTTCCTTCTTCTTATAGCGTTGGCAAATTGTTCTGCTTTGTCGGATTACTGTATGTCATCATTGATTAATCCAGGCATTGTGACTCTTAATACAATCCAGGTCATGTACCCAGGTTGCTTGGAGGTCTTAAAGTGTTGTAGCAGCCTCACGCGCGCCCCACCTCAGCTAGGCCCCGTTGCTCCCTCTCCCCACCAATGACTTGCATGTTTCCAAACCTCACAAAATTCTGAGAAAAAGTTACAGCCTTGCCAGCTCGAACAACCAAAACGTTTCCAAACCCACCAAATATACTATTTTGGGAACGCGAGACGTCGCGGCATTTGACGATCAAGCAGCTGTCCTCTGATCACCTCTGACACGGTCTCACAAGACCGGGAGACAGACTGAGCGCGATGGCCTCGACACAGCACGTCCTACTCTCCCCCGCCGAGCTCGCGTATCTACACTCGTCGCTATCGCTCACGCCGCCGACGCGACCCGACGGCCGCTCGCCGACCCAGTTCCGCCCTCTAACCGCCGAGACGGGCATCCTACCGGGCACCAATGGCAGCGCCCGCGTGTGTTTCGCCGACGGCACCGAGGCCATCGTCGGCATCAAGGCCGAGGTGCAGCGCACTGGCGCGAAGTATGGACCGGGGAACGTGCTCCTGCAGCAGACAGACGGCGGTGGCGACGATGACGAGGCCGGCGACAATGGCAGCCAGAGGAGCGGCGAGAACGACTGGGTCGAGCTGGCGGTCGAGATCCCCGGCTATCGCGACGACGACGCCAACACGGTGTTCCTGGGCGCCATGCTGAGCGAGGCGCTGCTGGCGGACGGCGGGTTCTCAAAGAAGCTCTGGATCAACAGGCGGTTTCACTGGAAACTCTATCTAGACGTAGGTTTTTTCTCTGCTCTGGGCAGGTGCAAGATGCTATCTCGCTCGACTCCTCCGTTACTGACCTTTGCTGTGGTGTATAGATCCTTCTGATATCACAACCTCTCTCTTATCCTCTGCCGCTACTGTCCCTCACAACACACCTGGCGCTCCTCGCGACCAGGTTACCGAGCCTCAAGTCGGAAGGAGACGAGGACCCGCTGTTTGACGACGACTGGAACGCAGCGCAGTATCTGTACCCGCGCGAGGCTGGCCAAGCCGCGTCTCGGCCGCCGATAACGCTGCTCGTCATGGCCGTGGGAAATAACATCATCTTCGACCCGGCGAAGGAGGAGCTGGCAGTGGCAGATGTCGCACTGGCGGTGTCAGTCGGCGAGGCATCTCGCCATGAGGGGTCCAACGGTGCCGGTCGCAGTCTCAGGCTGCTGTCGGTCAGGACGATAGACCCGCCGTCACGGCTAACACCGCCCGGCGTGCCAAACACGACAGGCACATCAGGCGACGCGGCAGGAGGGGCAGGAAAGCAGCTAGAGGCGAGGGTTGCAGAGGCGGTTTCTAAGGAAGGCGTCTGGAGAGCGCCGAGAGGAGGTGCCAAAGTGGCCATATTGGCAGAGATGACACGCATGGTCCTGCAGAAAGGTGGCGTCGCCTACGAGGTACTGGATGGTTTGGAGGGTGTTGAGTTGGGATAAATTTGCATTATCTCCCGGGAGCCGCCAGATGGCAAACTCCTGACATTATCGGCATCAGCATGGATGGACTGGCATGCTGTCACATTGTATCATACAGAAGAGTACATTGGCCCGGCCGGCCCCTTGTTTTTAGAAGATACCCAAGAACTTCTTCCTCTTGCCTTCCTCGTGTCCCTCTGCGGAGGAGCCGTCGTGCACGGGGACCGCCGGGCCCATGGACTCGGCGTCCGTCTTGGCGGTCCACCCGCCGAAGCCCTGGTTCTTGTCCAGGCCGTGAGCCTTGCGGTACTCGCTGCGCTTGACGACGTCGTCGACGCGGCGCTTGCGCTTCTCGGCCACCTCGGCGGAGCGCTGGGCCTCGCTCAGGCGGACGACCTCGACGGCGGTGCGGATGGAGCTGAAGGGGTGGGACACCAGGTCGGATCCGCTGGGGAGCATGTCCGCGAAGGGCGAGGTGCGCTTGAAGTTCTCGACAAAGGTGAAGGTTGCCAGGCCCGTCAAGCAGCTCTAGAACGAAGCCATGGCTGTTAGCAACGAGGCCGATCATATACAACTGCCAGCTTAGACTGACTAACCATCGTGATGAAGAGGTGGAGAGCTCGGCTGTGCCAGAACCAGTGCTCCGTGGTGCCCTCGGGCGCCATCATGCCCGGGTAGTCCCTCGTCTTCTGCGCCTGCGCCTCCGTGGCCGAGAGCTCGCCTCCGTAGTGCCGGGGCGCGCCCCGCTTGGGCAGGCGCGCGCCGTGGGAGGGCGGGTTGAACTTGGCGGGCTTCTCGAGCACGAGCGGCTTCGAGGAGCCCTTGCCCGTGCCGGAGGAGGAGGAGGAGGAGGAGGAGGAGGAGGAGGAGGAGGAGGCATAGCGGATGGTCAAGCGGTCCGCGGACCGAGGGGCGCGGGCGCGGCGCCAGAGCATGCCGGACTGGGGGAGGAGGAAGCGAGGAATGGATGCCGCCGGCACCGGGGACGCCATTGTTCGCTGGTTGATTGACGGTGCTATTCCGTGGGTGTTTTGCGGGCGGTGAGGGTTGAAGTGTCGACTGTCATGAGAGCTTCTCCAGCAGTATGAAAAAAAGGGCAATTGAGAGTGGACTCAGCAGTTAGGCGATGTACCTTGGTGGCTAGCGCAGGATCCAATCGCCCGATAAGATTAATGCACATCAACCGCACGCATTCGTGGCTAATAGCTAAGAAATCCGACTGTACTCCGCGGATACTTGTGACTCGCTAATTGATTTGTGTACATATGTACGTATTTTAAGCATGTTTGGCTCCAGTCCAGTCAAGCTGCCTGTGAACACGCGGAGTGGACGAGCCATATTCCCGGGGCCGCTTCGCCGACCAGATCAGTTCAGCCACATGTACCTATCGAGCAAAGCCCGCGTGCGTGAAGATTGATGCAACCGCCGTCGTGTCGTCCCGAGGTCATCCGGAGGTGACTTTGGCTCGATCTGGCGGCGGTGCTAGGGATCTGGCCTGCTTTTCTAGGACCAAGCCATCCGTTCGGCCAGTCGTGCTAATCTGTCGCCCCCCTGCCACGCCGACTAGTGCAGTTCGCTCGTAATGACTCCAAGAATTCCCGAGTTTCGCCGGGCTCGCATGACGGCGGTTTGAGTAATTGTCGCCCGGTGATTGGGCAGGTGGCGCCCTGGGCGGCCCACTTGCGCCACATTTTCTGTGGCTCGTGCTGGAGATGCTGAGCTCATTGACTGACCCCAGGAATTAAATGCAGGCGCCCTGTTTTTTTTCCGCGCTGGCTTCAAAAATCTTCTCCCTCCCTCTCAGCGATTCAGGATACTTACTATTCCATAATTCGACTCACTGTCTATTCGTTGCCCTCGTGCTCGATTCCTCCTTGCGACTTCATCTCTAGACCTCTCGTCTTCCACACAACCCAGCAAAAATGGGCTATTCCAAGGGTAGGTCCAGCTCCATCCTTCGTCCATCCTCCCGAGGCTTTGCCGGATCATGCCACCCACACACTGGGCTCTCGTGAGCCATTGACGCTCGACACGGCTGTCGCATGCGGTACAGCATGGCCAGAAGGTCTTGCACTGGCCATCAGAACTGGCGATTGCGACAAAAGTTCTTGGCGTCGTCCTCGATCTAGCACTGTACCGCAAGGGTGCGGCCTTTGTTGGCCATGTACCTGCGAGCTGGCATCACAAACGAACAGAGGGGGGGACGAGTTACTTGGCCTTGCCAATTGGCCCTTCTCGGTTCCTGGCAGCTCTGCGACTCTTGCGCTGGACATTTCATCCTTCCTCACTGGATGCTCTGCCTGTCGACGATGTGCTTGCGGCTGGCCGCCCTGCCTCGGGAAGCCTTGTTTGTGCGCGGACAATCATGCTGACATGACGACTTCCTTTAGGTGATACCAAGAAGGGTGCCAACCTCTTCAAGACCCGCTGTGCTCAGTGCCACACCCTGGAGGCTGGTGGCGGCAACAAGATCGGCCCTGCTCTGCACGGCCTCTTCGGCCGCAAGACCGGCTCCGTCGACGGCTACGCCTACACCGATGCCAACAAGCAGAAGGGCATCACCTGGGACGAGGAGACTCTGGTAAGATCACTTTGCGACCAGCTGTGAAAAGCATGTGGGCTAACCCCCTTTCATAGTTCACCTACCTTGAGAACCCCAAGAAGTACATCCCCGGCACCAAGATGGCCTTCGGCGGTCTGAAGAAGGACAAGGACCGCAACGACCTGATCACGTACGTATTCGCCCTCACTCTTGGCTCTGTATCACTGGCCTAACATGGTTGTCTCTAGTTTCCTCAAGGAGTCCACCGCATAAGCGACGTTTGTACCGATGTAATTCTAGACATGATTTGACGCGCATTAGAGCAAGGGGTTTTTCGGGTGTGTTGTACTATTAGACTTAGACCTGATTACAACTATCTATTGAGGGATGGAACTGGGCTTCGTCATGCTCATGAACTATACCCACTCCGCTCTGTTTCTCCAAGTTTACAATGCTCCGGGTGGTCGCGCTCTACGATGTGAAACGAGGCATCCCTTAGCTTCTGAAAACCCTGCTGTTAACAGAAAGCGAAGCCTTGCATGATTGATGTCGTGCTGACTTGGCCAGGCGTAGCGTAGTTGATCTGCGGGAAAAGACACGGCCTGAATGGCGGGACTCAACTAACTCATCTTCAACTTCTTGATCGTGGCACGCACCCTTTTGATGATTGACCAAATGGGGGTTCTGCTTGGCTTCTTTTATTCTGCATCCCTTCTCAAGTTTCCAGATCCCCTTGACTGAGCCTCTGGTCAGATACGAGTTCAAGAGAACGAGAGTCATTAAAGAATCAGTGTAGCGCAGCGGGCCAATCACATATGTCTCAGAACTTTTTAGTGGACCACCCTTGTCTTTTCAGGTGAACAGCTCCTGCCAAAATTACAGACATGAAAAGAGCAACTACAAGAACTGAAACGACTTCAACACGACCATGTCCGGTCGACTGCGAATAGGGATTGACCGTGACGTATACCAGGTTGTCCGCAAGCTCGAAGATGAGCAACCTGTCAAAGTACCGCGTCTCACCGTCACCTCGGTCTATGAGAGCATCAGGCGATCAAACTCAAGCCTGGCAAGGCAGAAGAGGCGTCCACTGGAGGATGCAATCGAACGGGTCTTGACTGTCCGGAAGCAGGAGATCAAGGCCTTAGAAGCTGATGATGACGATTCGGATGAGCTCTTGGAAGCGACGGCCGCTGCGAGGGAGACAGATAAGCCCAAGGACGCCTTCATCCTCAACAAGCAGCTCACTAAGCACTGGAACTTCGGCTCTGCGACGCCCACCACTACGGAAAACTCCCCATCTGCGCAGTCTGCTCTCCCCGACCAGAAAGACGGCGAGCAGCCGACTGAGATGGAGATTGACTCCGCGCCTACCGAGAGGCAGAGTAACGGCGAGCCTCGTCTTAAGAGGCGGAGGGCGGATCGGCCTTCTAAACCTGCTGTTGACCGGAGCCCTCCCACTGGGCTTTCCATCGAGGATATGTCAGGCATTCAGGAGACTCTCGCACAACTGGAGATCCCCGTCCTTATCCCTCTACTCTACCCTCACCTCTACCGCGATGTCCACTGCAAAGTCTCCCCAGCTGCACTTCTCCACGGCCCTTCTGGCTGCGGCAAGACGGCCCTCGCCAATGCGCTGGCAAACTTTGTAGGAGCTCCCTTCATCTCGGTTTCAGGGTCTACCCTGACGAGTGGAATTTCTGGAGAATCTGAGAAGAAGATCCGCGATATCTTTGACGAGGCCATATCTCTTGCGCCATGCATCCTCTTCATTGACGAGATAGACTGCATTGCTGGCAAGACAGACAATGCCCAGAAGGCGATGGAGACGAGGATGGTGGCCGAGATAAACACTGGTATGGACCGGCTTGAAAGGAGCACCCCGCCGGGCAAGACGGTGGTCGTCCTCGCCGCCACCAGCAAACCCGACACGATGGATCTGAGCGTCAGGCGACGCTTTGCAACAGAGGCCGAGATGGGTATGCCCAATGAGAAGGCAAGGGAGGAAATTCTCCGGACCATGTCTCAAGGGCTGGCGTTGGACGATGATGTCGACTTCAAAGTGTTGGCTCGCCTCACCCCCGGCTATGTCGGTGCTGATCTCAAGAGCGTCAAGATCACTGCCGTGAACAACGCCGTGTACCACCAGGCCTCTCAAAGCACGTCACAGCTAAACGGAAATCAAAGCCCCCCAGATGGTTTAGACGACACGCAGAAAAGGCTTTGGCACCTTCGTGCCGCGGCTCCGGCCAACCCCCCAGACGAGGCCTCATCATCCAGCATAAAAGTCACCTTTGCAGATTTCAAGAAAGCCATTGAATCCACCGAGCCGGCAGCCAAGAGAGAAGGCTTCAGCACCATCCCTGACACGTCCTGGTCCAAGGTCGGCGCCATGCGGGACGTGCGCCAGAAGCTGGAGGAGAACATCATCGGACCCATCACGGACCCGGAGCGCTTCGCCAGAGTCGGCATCCGGCCCGGGGCCGGCATCCTCCTATGGGGACCCCCCGGCTGCGGAAAGACGCTCGTCGCCAAGGCCGTCGCCAACGAGTCCAAGGCCAACTTCATCTCCATCAAGGGCCCCGAGGTCCTCAGCAAGTGGGTCGGCGAGTCGGAGCGCGCCGTCCGCAAGCTCTTCGCCCGCGCGCGGGCCTCGGCGCCCTGCATCGTCTTCTTCGACGAGATGGACGCCCTCGTGCCCGTCCGCGCCGACGCCTCGGTCGACGCGAGCACGCGCGTCGTCAACGCCCTGCTCACCGAGCTCGACGGCGTCGACGGCCGCCGCGGCGTCTTCGTCATCGGCGCCACCAACCGGCCCGACATCATCGACCCGGCCATCCGCCGCCCCGGCCGCCTCGGCAGCAGCGTCTACGTCGGCCTGCCCAGCCCCGACGAGCGCGTCGACATCCTGCGCACCCTCTACTGCAACGAGATCCCGGCCCAGTACCGCGTCGCGCAGGACCAGCTCCTGGCCGACCTGGCCAAGGTCGCCCACGACGCCCGGTGCCACAACTTCTCCGGCGCCGACCTGGTCCATCTGCTCCAGGCTGCGGGCAAGGCCTGCCTTCGCCGGGTGGAAGCCGAGAAGGATACCATCATCACGATAGAGGACTGGGAGACGGCGTTGAACGAGGTTAAGCCCAGTGTCAAGGACCTGGATAAGTATCAGAGGCTGTTGGATGCAGGGGAGTAGTAGTAGAGAGTTTGTTTTCGTCACAATAGACTCATAGCAATGTTTGTTTGTGTCTCGATCAACGTCTTTGAGTAAACTGCACTATGCCTACAGCACCGCTGATTAAAGCTTTATGTGATCCAGCCAGTTCCCAGGTCAAAACAAACCATTGCCTTTCCCCACCCTCCCTTTGCCCACTGAAAAGGCGCCTGTAGGAGACAACAACACTTTTTGTTGTCGTGTGATTCACATCCTTCCCGTAGCCGACCCGTAAAGACAGGTAGTTAACAATTGTCCATGCCCGTGCCAGCCCCCTATGAAATGAAAAGGACCGTATCGTATGCAAACGCCGAAGCCGCAGCTTCTTCTCAAAGCACATTTTTGCCCTGCCTACCACACCCAAAACCATCCAAAGCCGCATCTATTACCACCACTGGGAAGAAAAAAAGAACATTGAAGAAAAGAACAAGGAACCGGTCCCTTGGGCTGCCATCTGGAGAAGCCCTCCCCCCTGACCACACTAAACATAATGCATAAGGAGGGAATGTAAATGCTTCATGGAAATTCAAGTCGTACGCGTCGTGGCACAGGTGCTGTTGGCTGTGCTGAGGATCAGTGGAAAGGAGGGGTGGCAGATGACCAGCCCTCCTCCCCCTGACATTGTATGCAGTCCAATGACCGCAAAGTAGTTGTGTTGCAGATGTGCGTATTGCTCGCTGTCTATGCAAGATGCAGCAAACTCCCATCGCTGTAGAGGGTAATGCTGTCGCTCAAAAAAAGGGGCTGGGGATGGAGTGCCGGGTGGGAAATTTATCACTGTCGTAAGAAGATCAGGGTTGAGTGATGTAGCTCGTTCCTTTTGGGAAATTCCTTTTGGGAAAGAAAAAGACAAGGAGCACAAGTCGCCTAAAAGAACTTGCACAGGGCTGAGCTGAGCGCGATGAAATCCACCGGTTTGCTCACGTAGTCGTTGAAGCCGGCTGCAGCGCACTTCTTCTGCACGTCCGACATGACGTTTGCCGAGAGAGCAATGATGGGCATGGGTTTGTACTTGTGCTCTGTCTCCCAGGCACGAATCTCACGGCATGCTTGGTAGCCGTCCTTGCGCGGCATGTGGAGATCACACTGGCAAAAGGAATCAGTATCAGCTCATGTGCATGCGAACGCCCGAAAGGTAATACATACCAGAATAAAGGAGTAGTATCCTCCCGGGTGAGAGAAGACCTTGTCAACACACTCCACGCCGTCCGAAGCGATGTCTACCTCCACTCCAACCTTCTTCAAGTACTTCGTGAGCACCTTCTGGTTGATGAGGTTGTCCTCCACAAGCAAGACCTTGAATCCCTTGTTGCCCATCCGTCGTTCCATGTTCAAGTAGCTTTGCTTCTGAGTCTCCACGAGGCGCTGCGCAGAGGACCGATTGCGGTCAATACTGATATCGCGCTCCTTGGCTGGGTCGAAGATGACGGCAAAACGAGACGGCTTGACGGGCTTGTAGACATACGAAACCCGGGTCTCTGAGAGGATGTCCTCGTGCTTTGTGCCCGCTGCCAGTTTCATCACCGCCTGCCGCTGAACAGAGTCAGTCAGGATGACGAGTCTGGCCTTTGATATTGTTGGCGAGTCCATCAACTTGTCCATAAGATTCATAATCTCCTCTGGAGAAGGGAGGTTGATGACAATATGGGTAAAGTTGACTGCCTCGTCTCCACTCAGCATCATCTCAGCCTCCGCAATCGATGCAAGAGCGGCAATCTGATACGGCACGTCCTTTGGCAGAGTCATCTCGATGTGCTTCTTTGTCGCCTCCCGGCTCAGCTTTTGCGGGCAGATGACGAGGATCGAGTACATCGGTGGTCGGAAGCTGGCAGCCTCTGTCTCCGTGATGGTCTCGTCAGAGAGGGGCGTGGTTCCCGGCGAACTCCTTTCCGAAGGCATCTCAAGCTTCATTTGCGAGAGATCCTGGCCACTCGCCCTCGCGGCCTCGCTGAAGTGAACAAGCCCGACATTGACTGAAGACATGGACGATCGCTCGGTAACCCGGCTCCGGCCCGATTTGATGGAAGGGTCGGAGCTTCCGCTAGAAGCCGCGACCGACGAAGCTGGATCTACATCCGTTGTAGGACTCGTCCCTGGACTCAGTCGTAATGGCTTCACTGTGGAGAGTTGGCGCGCAGGATGGGCCACTTGGAGCTCCTCGGGCACAGCGCGAGTTGTAGCCGTAGACGGAGGGCTTGCAGGAATGTCTGGGTGGTCCTCGCTAGTCGGCAAGATAAAGCGCGCCGTGAAGGTGAAGGTTGAACCCTTTCCTGGCACAGCGGTGCCGTCCATCTTTCCGCCGTGGAGTTCGACAAGCTGTCGCGAGATAACGAGTCCCAAGCCACTTCCACCGTGTTGCCTTGTGCTGCTTCCGTCAATTTGACTGAATGGCTTGAAGATCAACTCTGCCTCCTCCTTGGTAAAGCCCCTTCCAGTATCAATAATGGAAAACTCGAGCATGATTCCCGTCTCATCTGGCTCTTCCCCGTCATTGGGAGGGACAACACGGCAATGACTGAAGACCTCGCCCTGGGAAGTGAACTTGATGGCGTTGCCAATGACGTTGAGAAGAACCTGTCGAATTCTGACCCTGTCTCCCTTGACCCAGGCAGGTACGTCGGACTCAACGACGTAGTTAAGTTCAAGACGCTTTGCAATGGCCATGGTTGACACCAGCTCGTTTACATCCTCGATCAGGGATCGAGTATGGAACCATTCGTAGTTGAGCTTCATCATACCTGCATCGACCTTGGACAGATCCAAAATGTCGTTGATAATCATGAGCAAGCTGTTGGCGCTGGTCTGAATGGTGTTTGTGTAATCGCGCTGTTCCTCATTTAGGACCGTGTCTTGGAGGAAGCTGACCATTCCCGAGATCCCTATAAGCGGCGTACGGATTTCGTGTGACATGTTGCTGAGGAACCGGCCCTTGGACTCCATGGCCTCTTTGAGTTTGGCCTCGAGTAGTTTGTGGTCATTGATGTCCGTTGCTGAGCCAAAATAGGAGCTCGTTCCATCGTCGTGAACCATGTTTTGGATCTCCACGCAGCGGACTAGATGCCACCTGTACTCGCCAGTCTTCGAGCGTAGCCGGACTTCGGTAGTGTATGAAGGGCGACCTTCACTGTCTTCCGTTATCTTGATGATGCCCTTTCTGACAAGGGAGGCAAGGTCGGCTGCACCCTCGTTCCCAGAAGTACTACTGGAGCTGCTCTGCCGGGATAGCGCTTGACGAACAATGTTGCTCGTGAGTAGCTCTTTATGCGAGAGGCTCTTCAAAATACCCTTCGTAGAAACAGGGGATGAAGGTGAGCTTTGGAGGGCGTCTCTCTCTTCCATGACTTGCTTCTTGAAAGAGGCCATGTCTGTGGGCACCCTACATTTCGCGAGGTCTTCGGGGTGAACAAAGTCCATGAAGCCCAAACCCAACGGATCGTCTGTGCTTTGTCCAGTGTAAGACAACCACTGCTGGTTTGCGAAAGTGATGCCCTCATCCTCGGTCGCCGTGAAGATGATCTGTGGAATGAGGTTTGCGAGAAGCCTGTGCTTTGCCTCGGAAGACTCGATCTCTTCTTGACGGATCGCCTTGAGTTCAGCGATGTGCTGGTCGTGTATGTCCATGTACGAGCCCAGGAACTGAGTGATAACATTGCGCTTGTCTCGCGTGGCGATCGCTCGTGCCTGGAAGAATCGATAAGCCCCATCAAAGCGCCTTATACGAACCGTGCGTGAGAACTGATCTCCGGTTCGCACAGAATGGCTCCAGGCTTTGAGGTACTCCTCTCGCTCGTCTGGGTGGATGCTGCCCCAGGGATCTTGGGCAAGATCCGTGACTGTCTGACCCCTGTAACTCAGAAACCGGCTGTTCACCCAAACAATGGCTCCTGTTTGCGGCAAAGCGACAAAAACGTGAGAAGGCAAGGAGTCCAGAATCAACCCCTTGAGCCTGTCCGATGGAGGGGGCATGTCCACCTGGCCCACTGATATGGAGCCAGACCGAGATGGTGCAGACATGTATGGCGTGCCTTTGACCGAGATGCTCGAGCTTGGGGGTAGCGACTGAAAAGTTGTGGTGAAGTCCGCGCCATAAGAGTGTAAGAGGCTGTGGCGGTGAGGTGCCTGGCCCAAGGGCCCAGAGGCCGCTGTGGATTTCTTGACAACTTCGAGAGCGGGTTGTTGTGCCGAGCTTTCGCCAAACAGGTCTGCTCTATTGTCACCCAGGTTTTCTTTGGCTTCTTGCAAGGTAACTCGCTTCTGCTGCAGCCCTGTGACGGCCATTTCATCTGGTAGCCCCCCGGGCACGTCCCCGGCCGCGCCTTCGTTCTGCCCAAAGTCAGTGGCAGTCATGATAAGGGCATCCTGCACCGGGGCTTTGCTCCCAGTGCGGCGGAGTGATGAGCGTTTGTCGATGTTTGACAACTCCTTTGAATTTCGTCGGAGCCGTTGAGCACTCCCGCCCCCCGGTGTCGTAGGAGGCCGTCCTGGACTTGTGGCAGGCCTGGTATTGAAATAGCTATCCCCAGTAACTTGCCCGGGACTGGACCCCACAGTTCGCTTGTCCACGATGAGCCCGAAAGTGCCTGTGTCCCAATTCGGCGTTCCGGCTGGGGAATCAGCGGCGCTCCGATGTGAAGGGCCGGAATAATCACTGGGACTTGTGATACTGCCGCCCAAAGACATTTGCGATGCAAGATCCTCGGGTGGTATGTATCCGAGCTTTGACATGGTGATGGAATCAACAAGCATTCGGCCATCGGTGCCCAGTGCCCCAAATCCGGGAGTGTCATGTCTCCTGCGGTGAAGGCCGACCACTTCGGCTTCCAGATTAGAATAGTGGCGACACAGCGAGAAAGACGTTGCCAGATGGGCGCTTAGAGCTTCAATAGAACGCCGGAGGTTCGAAGGATACGGTATGACGGGGCTTAGGATTGAGAGGATGGCGATGGGTGTCTGCTTCGGTTTGCTGGCAGGTTCTGGTGAGGAGTTCGATGTCGCCCGCTGTTCTGCGGGGGTTGCATCTGACTTGCCCCTTGACGAGGACTTCTGGTCTAGGATAGTCGTGTCAAGCTTGAAAGCTGGAGCGGGTTTTGAGAGTATGACATGTGACAATGGTATGTGCAGAACAGTGTACGAGTTATCGACTCCAATAGTCTCCGGTGGCTTCATGCTAGTGTAGTCATGAGTTGCAGGACCGGGGTTGAACGACTCCTCATCGACCATGGCATCGGTAAAGAAGGGGTTCTGATTTGGATCAGCTCTAATGGCTGGTGATGGCGCGGGTGACTGAGACCATGGCGATGGGGGGGCTTGCTCGTACTCCTCGTACCTAGGAGTCTTGGGCCGTGGGGCATCTTCCAGATGCGTTGAGTTCCTAGACTTCCTTGCATCGCCAGACTTGGCATCCTTGGCCATGTTTGCGTTGCCAAGGAGTGAGGAGAGCTTGGTCGAAGAATCAGAACGCATCTTCTTGGCCAGTTTTCTCGGTCCCTCCGGGGATTGACTTCTTGCTCTGCTCAAAGACTCTGAGCTCTTATCCCGAGACTCTGGGTCAAGGTAGGGATACGATCGCGTCAATGCTATCACCCGGCCTCTGTCGAGCACTCTCTGCACGCCGTTGTGGTCGATCAGAGGATCGGCCTCGTAGTCCAAAGCCTGCAGGACAGGCAAGACCCTGCCCTGGACTTGAGCATGGGTTGCTATCGGAGCTTCCCAGCTCGGGATAGGATGCTCTTCTTCCTCGGCATTGTGTTCTTCGAGGACACTGCGACTGAGTTCCAGGTGTGTAGAATCATCTGCGGGCATTTCTTCTCGCAGGGTGGATACTGGGTACGAGCTTTGGCTCCTGGGCATAGGAGGTCTGGCAGCAGTGGCCGGCAGCCTGGTGTTGACCTCTGCCTTCTCCTTCTTGTTCTCATAAGTCGTAAATGAGTGCCGGCTTGCCAGTGTGGGACGGAGAGGTAACTTGAGTTTCTGCGTTTCGGAGGCATGAGATGGGCCTTCGGATGGATCGCCAGTGCTACTCGGAACCATACTGCTCCCCCTTGCCATGTAGCCCATACTCAGCTCGTCCTCAGGTTGGATGTTGAATGTTGCTTTCTGGCCCCAAGGCACGTTTTCGATATCGGTTGAGTCAGCGGGAACTGCCAGAGTCACTCTCTCGGCGCCGTAGCATTCGGTCATGATCTGCACTACCGTGTTCCACCATGCATCCAGCCCAGGCTCGGCTGACAGCATCAATGTCAAATCATAGAGGCTGGGGGTCGGAAAGTCTGGATTATCTCCCCCTATATAGGAGGCATTCCCAGGCTGGAAGGTGATGTTTGATGATGGCGTTGATGGGTTTGACAAGACTCTATCGAAAATGCTCCCGCCTTCGTGAATTACGCCCTGAGGCCCTGTGGGAGACAGGGTAGTAAAGGGTCGATGTAGTGCAGAGGATGTGTATCCCGGTGTGCCCATGCGCGGGAATGGATACGACGGAGTCCTTGCTGTGAAGCCTGGTGTCATTCCTCCTCTGATCGTATTGCCCGACTCGGTCGATGTGGTTGTGACGTCTGAAGAGGAACGGTCGGAGGAGGTCATGAGTGGCGAAGAAGTGGTCTCTTCCTGAATTGGTGACGGCCGCTTCGGCAGAGCCGAGGTTTGGGCGCCTCTGGCCGACATCTCTCTGACTAGCTGTTCGCGATAGTCACTCAGTTGTTTCTTGGGCATCTTCTCCGGTTGGCCTTCTTCCTTGTGAGATCGCACATCTTTTTGTGGGTCACTGTCTCTCCTCGATGTGGTTCTTGCGGCTGCCTTCCCTGTTTCCTGAGCGGCTTCCGAGTGTGTGCTGCCAGTCGGGGATTTGACTTCCTTGCGTGGCGATGGTGCACCCTGCCCACTCTTCAACCTTCCGGACATTGGATCTTACGCATCGCCTAGCCGCAGAAAGCCCTGTCCCATTATCATGTGCCACCTCTCGGACTGGAATTGCGTGCTGCCTCGGACGGGTTCGCAATGCTTGTGTTCACTCGTGGTGATGATGATGAGACGGATGGGAAGACAAGGGTCGGCTTTGGTGGAGGGCTAAGGCAAGCGCTGTGAGGACTGGGGGTGTCGTCGAGGCAGACAGCGCAGAGACGGAGGAGACCTGTTTGCCTTTTGTGGTGTTGTTCCTACAATACCACGCCGTACACCACTAAATCCAGGTCAGAGTGGGCGTCTGGCAGAAGGTGCAGGCGCCTCGGGAGAGAGCGCGCGCGAACAAGGGATGGGTCAAACGAACAAAAGTCTGGCTGGCGATCGAGGATTGTGAAACTGCACAGAGCCGAGATTCAAGTTTGACAGCTGGGGAAGAAAGGCAGCCGGATGTGCTAGATCGGAGGAGAGGGTGTGGGCGGAGGAGGAGAGCGACGATGACACGCGCGCAGTGGGTGGTTTGGCAGTAGGTGGTCGAGGTATTCCCAGGGCACCCTGAATTTTGATGATGTTAGGTGGGAAAGGAACATTGGAGGCTTGAGGGTACTATGACGGGGTGGGAAAGGGTCAGGTCCGGCTGATCGGCCCCTATGACGTCGTTGCCAATGGCGCGCGTCTCTACTGGGGGAGGCCATGCAGGAAGCTGAGAAAAAGCAGGCAGCGCCCTGCCACGCCTGGCAGGCGACAAGCTGACCACCGTCGGATGTGGAGAGAGCCAGTCCAACACTACTTTAGTTCGGTATTGCCCGGCACATCCAGAATCTCCCGTCTGTTTACAAGTACTATTGTCGGCTTGCCAATGTCTTGTTCCAGTGGGAATGGCTTCCTCTACGAAGGCACCACCATCCCTTTGTCTTCAAGACTGATGGAGGGTAGGATGGTGTGGTGTGGTGCGTTTCTTGTCTTGCATAGATAGTCTCCTGTCTCCCTAGCTGCCAACCTCAGTCCTAGTCCTGAGGTGTGCATGTGCGCGTGGATGTGCCTTGTTCCTGTGAAGCATGCTCTGATGCTGATGACCCTGGCGAAAAGTGGGCAGCCCTCCAAGGTGGGCAGACCCTACAGGCGCTTACGTCCTGCCATGCGACGCGAGACATCAAAGCTAGGCGGGGAGCGGGAGACTCCTCACTCGTACGAAACACGGTGTACGTATTTCTGCGCCTCCACCCGCCGCAGTGAACGGAGCAAACGGAGGGAGCCCTTGGCCTTTTACAGGTGCATCTACGCAGATCGCTCCACCGATTCCCAATTGTCGGCTGCCCTAGGATAGCGCGAAAGCAGGTCCCCCAAGGCTATGTGGGCACTATTTGGTCTAGCCGTGCCGACCTGCCAGACTCTCAAGTCAGAGGGTCCAGGCCAGCTAGCTGTTCCAACGAATCAATAGGTAGGCGCATCCCTTGATGGACCTAGATCGATCATCTTGATAAGATTATTCCTGATCGAAGCACGGAAGAGGAATGTTCCAGCAAAACTATGAGACGAACAGTGGTGTTGGCCTGTGGGTAACTTGTAGGATCCCCAGTGATATGTTAATCTGCCGATCCTAACAATCCACAGTGTATGTCCCTCATAGCACCAACCGCCTGGAAGCCGGAGCTGGGTAAGGTAGTCTTTGTTTACCTCGATCCAAAAACATCAACCTGCATTACCTGCATGTCACCTGTCTCATTCACGAGGCATCGAATAGCACTGGTCCTGCAGATAGCGCTGGTGGCGGGGAGATGAGCGAAACCAATTGAGCACCATCGTCCCAACTGACTTTAGCGCAAATACCTAGGTACCTAGGTAGCTTATACGCCGAGACTGTGCTGCTCTCAAACCGGCTTTGGATGAACGGGGATAGTGAATTATCAGTCAATCGACTCCATCAGACAACAGTACAAACACAGATCGTCCTTCTCAGATCGTGGGTTTATCCATCGTGTTGCCTTGCTCACCCCCATAGTGTGGTTTTGGAGAGGCAATGTATCAGGCTTTGTCCTCCTCAGATCCTCAGAGGGGACAATGGCCAATGTACCGCTCCTCCCTTCGCATAGCCCATCCCAGGTCACACGCTGCAATCGTCTCAAGTCACTAAGAGTCCAGATTTGCTTAGCAGTATGTGGCTGGCCATATGATACAGTTGTGCGAACCAAGTCTGACTACCGCACCAATTAGGCTCAAGATAGAGATACTATCGACAAAAGATGTACATTGAAGAGTATAATTACCGGTCAATCGGCCGCGCTGTTGCTCTGTATAGCCACGCTTGCAGCTGACGACCCCGCCTAGGCTTGCAACTGAATACAAACATTTACCACAGCTCACAGACCGGGTCTTTCTTAGGGCACTTGAAGGCCTCTCTGAAGCCGCGCGAGTTGTACATGGCGGTTCCCAGAATCCGGATCATGTCGGGCGAGTGCTCATCCGTCAGCACCCTCTGGGTCAACATGGCCGGCTTGAACTTGGAGCACCACACGTTGCCGTAGGTGATGTAGAACAGCTGCTCCTGGGTGAAGAAGTTGAGGCCCGGAAGGTCGAGGTCAGGCGACGACTTGCGACGCTCCTGCCATGCGGCCCAAGCAGCTGAGAGGCCGCCAGCATCGGCAATGTTCTCGCCCTCGGTATTCTTGCCGTTGATATGCAGGGTGCCGTTAGTACCCTGAACGGTGAAGTTGGAATACTCCTCAACGAAGCAATCCGCCCGTTTCTCGAACTCGTCAATGGTCTTGTTCGTCCACCAGTCCTGGTACTTGCCCTCGGCATCATAGAAACGACCGTTGTTGTCGAAAGCGTGGGAAAGCTCGTGACCAGCAACGGCACCGAAGCCACCGTAATTAATGTAGGAAGGCAGATCGCCACCGAAAAGGGGGAACTGCATGATGCCTGCGGGGAACACAATCTCGTTGCCAGGAGGGTTGTAGTAAGCATTGACAGTGCTGGCAGTCATTCCCCATTGGTCCCGATCAGTGGGCTTGCCAAGCGCTGACCATGTCTTGTTCACTTGGAATTCAGCCTGCGCAATTGCATTATCGAAGTAGACGTCGGTGGTGTTGAGTGCAGCATAATAGTCCTGGAGGGCCTTCGGTTCCAAGATGTTGGGCGATTTGGTAGGGTATCCAATCTTCTGGGTGATCTTCTGGACCTTGTCGGTGGCGACTTTCTTCACTTCATCGTCCATCCACTCGAGCGACTCGATTTTGGAGATGAAGACCTTTCGAATATCTGAAATGACCTGGTCTCCTAGATCCTTGGCCTTCTCAGAGAACGCCTTCTCGACAAAGAATCGGGACAGGATCCAGCCAAGGCCACTGTCGACGTGGGACAGGCACGTGCGGAACCTCTCAGGAGTTGCGTCCGGGTCCTTAACAGAAAAGTACGGTGTCAGCACCCAAAGAAACATGGACGACGGCTCGGATGATGGCTTACCTTGCCGCTAAGTGTGTTGACAAACTGCTTGTAGGGCTTGACCTCGGGTGCCTCAACCAGGTTCGCGGTATTCTGGATCACCTTCCAAACGAAGAAGCCTTGAATTGCTTCTTTCGGGCTGTCAGACAGGATAGAGGAGACATTTTGCAGGAATTCCGGAAAAGATGTGATGGTGCGGTTCACGGTGTAGTTGGAGGGAGCAAGCGACTGAACCACATGGTCGAGGCCAAGTTCCGGGATCAACTTCGCGCTGTCCTTGAGAGCCATTGGGTTGTAGGATTTCTGCAAGACTAAGGGTCAGTTTCCAAACAAACTTCAATGTTTATTTTTAGCTGGGAACGCACAGTGATGTCGCTAAATTCCTCGATATCCGGAGTAGCACCCGCGATCTTGATCTCGAGATCTACAATCGCCTTTGCGGTCTTGTTTGCGTCTTGCGATGTAGATTTGATAGCCCCGAGTACCTTTGTGATTGCATCTAGGTACCCGGAGACAACCTCGTCATCTTTGTAATAGCCCTTGGCCGGCAGTCCGGGGGCCTCGCGTGGAGCGATGACTACGACAGTCGTGTCCTGATTTCGACATCAATATAGAGCTTTCGCAAGGCGGGGAGAATGCAACATACCGGTTCCTTGTCATCAGCAGTGACATAGATGTTCGAGAAGGCATCGATCCCGTGTCGCTGGAGAAACAGTAGGCTGTCGCTCCACGACGACGAGTCATTGAATGTCGACGTCAGGTCCTTCAGAACCTCTTCAATTGGCGTGATACCGCGCTTGCTGATGTCATTGACAGCCATGCAAGCGTTGTACGCACGCTGGATTTCGTTGAAGTTCTGCTCATCAATAGAGGCGGTAGCTTCCGCCAAGCTCCTGGGCGAGAAAGTCGAGTGGTTCGACTCGCCGGGATAGATGCCTTCCAGGACGTGCCTCAGAATCGAGTCGCCGTTCTGAGCCATGATGTTCAGCGCGTCGGTCATACTCTGGTCAGGCCTCATGTCATGGCGGTCTCTCCAGCCATCGCACACCAGCGTCTCAAAGTCGGTACAGGGATCGAGTTCCTGATACTTGGGCGACAGGCTGTAGAGGAACTCCGACGCAGCATGGATGCATGCCGGAGTCAGACAGAGAGAAGTAGTCGAATTCATCCTGCTCGACCGGTATACTGAATGATCACCAGAGTTAGAGAAATTGGCTCCGGGCAAGCCAGGAAGATTGACCAAGACCTGGCTGGAGTGGCAGGGCTCAAAGCACGGGAGAGCAGGGGTGCTGGAGAGAAAGAGCAGGGCGATGCAGGCACGGCGGTGTTGTCAGGTCAGACGGGGGCGGGTGGAAGCAGACTGATATAGGCACGAACCTCCGAACAGAACAAGAAGAACAATGACGACTGCTACCAGCAGGATGCTGACACAGAGCGAGATCCAGCGGTCCTGCTTCCACCTTCTCAAGCGCCTGCCAATTACAGCAGCGCGTCCCTCATCCTCGCCATTCACGACGGCATTTTCTTCCCGATTCAGCAACGGGGTGGACTCGTCTGGCAGGTCTTGGCGAAGGTCATTTCCTGGTTGCCGCGAGGCCAGAGGGGCTTGTTCTGGTGTAGCCATGACTCGGCGCGGACGACAAGGCGTGGCTCATCGGCTCCTACGGCGCAGCGCAGGGAAGCAAGACAGGCTAGCGGCAAAATGAAGGTTCCTGTCCCTGGGAGGGTCGCAGATCAATTAACTCGATAAGAATCTGCGGTTGCTGTCCTATGTACATGAGCGGACGAGGAGGAGAGGAGGTCACCGCGTTTGTTGACATGCATGGATGGGGATGTGGATTTGGGTTCCGCAGCCTTGACTCGGGACGTCATCATCCACTGTGGAGCAGCACACCACAATTCGCTACGGTACTACCTACTCAAGGAAGCTTCGGCTTACCGCCTGAACTAGGCTCAATCTAGAGCATTAGAAGAGCTTCCAGGCCCAAAGCCCCTGTCAAGTGCTCCCGTCGATGCGGGGTAGCTCCTGAGCGGACCTGTTGCGTGCCGGAGGTGATTCGCCTGATGCTTACTTGAGGGGGGAAATCACAATTTAAACTCGCATTGCTACAACATGGCATCAATTGGGTCCGAAAGTCTCGCCAGGGTCTTCCTGAATCCTTCGTGCGAGAGTCCTTGAGAAATGCCACTGAGTAGACAGCGGTGACAGCGGTACAGTTCCTCATCGTGCCATTGCAAGTAAGCAATGTGTAAGAGTCGCCAGAGGAAAAGTGAAAAGAAGAAGGGCTCTAGGATCGGGGCAAATGGACCAAGACCGCAGACACGGATGTCGGCAAAATAAGCTGCATAGTGCTTTGAACGACAACCACCTCGTACGAGCAAGGCAGATGCTCCGTAAGCCCTTCATCGTCTATAAGCACTATGGGATATGTCGCTGTGCCTTTTGAGGTCAACAACCCCGTACGTGTCCCAGGGACGTCAGCCGCCAAGGCCCGCTATGCATTGTACAGACCAAGCGATTCAATCTACCCTATCCCAGTCTTGGGTTACAATGTGGTGGCATCATCATGCATCCTGTTTCTGGTCTGTACGACATTTAAATTGGCCCATGCTGTGCAGCATCCCGCCCAACCAGGCAACAGTCGCGCCTCTGAGCTCAGATGAGTGGCCGAGACGTCGGCCATGAGCATCATGGCTGCAAGCACAAGGATGTGGAACCTAACACGAGATCAACCAAATAGACCATGCTGACGCGGCAGCCAAACAAAGCCTTACGAGGTTCCTGGAGGCGGAGCAGGTTGTGCGTGCCAAGGATCTCTTGTATGTAGTCGTCTCTAACCCTGTAGGGCAGTTCAACATCCCAATGATCACATAGGCGACATCATCGACGGACAGCCTGTCTTGGCATACAAGGCGCAGGGGAAAAGGAAGGACAGACGAAATAAGGGGAGCTCATCTCACGGCGGGCTAGGGAGAGAATGCGTGCGAGCAAGAGGTAGAGGACGAAAATAAAAAAGAGCGAAACAAAACCAATATGTGAGGTAATTATCGTTGGGAGAAGTGATACAATGATACCGTCAAATTAAGCGTTTTAATCTGCTTACACCCATGAATGATCAGACGTGGAAACCGCCATGTTCCGTAACCATGGACACTTACCCTGCACCTCATCGATAGGTACCTATACTATGTTTCTCTTGTCTATGCCAAGTGCCACCAATAGTAAGTCCATCTAAGAAAGCATAACAACTTCGTCCAAAACCAAAAGCCAGTCCCTCCACTACCTCATCCTTGAACCAAGTCTCGATGCTGGGATTCCTAAGAGGCGTCCTCGCCTCTCCAGTATGCCAGCCACCGGTCAATCCCCAACTTTCTCTTGTGGATTCGGGGATACACTCCTAGCACCGTCAATACAACAGCCACGACGACGGCCCAGAGTTTGATGTCAAGCACGTTCTTGTTGTAGTCCGTGCCCGTAGCGCTTAGGACTGTGGCCAACAGCAGGATGTAGAGGGAATAGCCGGACCAGCGGTGATATTTCCAGAGGGCTTTCGCGTTGTCCACACCGCCGAACACCGCCGGAACACCCCACATGAGGAAGCCGAAGATGTACTGGACGAGGAGAGCAATAGCCGTGATCACGCCAAGGTAGCCATGTGCCGAGTGGAAATGTACGCCGTTGGATTTGAACTTGTTGACTTCAATCATCACGACACCAGCGGTAAAGAGGAGGAACGAGAGCAAGTTGAGGCTCGCATGGACCCGGGCGCCTACCACTTTCTCTTCCGGTGTCCAGGTCGGCTGGAGAACCAGGATGGCCTGGGTCACTGTGAAGACCCCCAAAGACTGTAACAGAGGATGAGGAGAGAAAAGCGGGAGCAGAGGGTTCAAAAAGACTGAGGACCAGATCAAAGCCAGAAGTAAAAACGCGCCAGCCTGAGCGATCCAGCCCGTTCCTAACAGTGATGGGTAAGTATTCGGTAGTCGAGGCTCGCAGTGCCGATCCGCAAAACGAAACGCATCGAGTGCTGGGACCAAAACTCACCATTCCATAAATTGGAGATCAGTGAGTCGCCCGGCCTTTGCAGAGCATCACCGGGTCTGCCGAGAAGAGGTTCCGACTCATCCGTGAGGTTGGTATCTGTCGCACCAGGTATTCTGGCTGGGATGCCAGTGGCGGAAGCCATTTCTATTCACGGTAGTTCTCGAGATTGAAAATGATCAAAGCGAGCTTGTACAGACGAGCTATAAATCCGCGAGTGTGTTTAGCAGCGCGAAAGTCTTCCGGTCAATATGAACTCCAGTGATGTCCAGAGGCAAACAAAGACAGAAAGAAGCGAGGGCACAATATAAGCTCTGCCGCAATTCGATGCACGGACTCGTAATGGATGGCCGGGATGAGGATATGTCCTCGATGATGACGGCAACGGGGAGCTTGGGGAGCTCTGGCCTATCAGGGCAATTCTTTTGCAAAGCGGGGATGATTGTTCAACCTTGGTTACGGCGCTACTTGAGCACCCGTGGGAGTCTCAGACGGTGCTACGGTACTACCCCATCACTGCTAGGGGATCCCGCTCCGATAAGCAAGAGCAATGTTGCACTTGAGCTCTCCAATCTGTTGTGCATGAGAAGGTGGTTCAAGAGAACACAACCCGCAAATGGTCTTCGGACTAACAGAATCTTTTCAACCCCGCGGCAAGACGGCAACAGAAGAAGAAGAAGAAGAAAGTTTTTTTCCCCCCAAACTTCCACGGGGTAGGCTTCCCGGCAGGTATGCGCGGAGGTGCAACGAGGTCCGGCCCTGATAAAGATCAAACTATCAGGTGGCCGTGTTACGTAGAAGTTACCTGATAGCTGCGGGACCCGGGTTTGCGATTACGTAGCGGCCCAAACCCACTTCCGCAGTCGGCACTCCGTTGACTAAAGTAGAGTTGCATGTGGTGATGGGAAGGCCCGGTCTGGCACTTGGACGGACGAAGTATCGGTTTGGTAATCGGCATTTCACTAGACAACGCCTATCGATAAATGCAAGACCGGGACGCGGTAGCGGAAATCATCAGTGCCACGGTCTTTTAAACCTTGAAGGCTCCTCAGCGCTGTCTCTTTCAACCCTGAACAAACCCTACCAACATCCATCCTGGACCCCCGCTTCAAACACCCATCTACTTGCATCCAAGCACAGACAATCCATCAAGATGGCAGACGAAATTTCCTACAGATTGGAAAATATCAAGGCTACCAGCATAGCCGCTGATAAGATTGACGAGACGTTCCGCTCGAGCTGTATTGGTGCGTATACAAGCCCGAGTGCCTTCTCTCTCATACCAGAAGTGTTAACACTAGTGGTCATTCATTAAGATCTGGTCTCTGCGGGATTGGAGGGCAAGGTGCTCGCATTCTCAGATCAATGGTTCGCAGATGCCTCGAACTTACTGACACCCACAGCCCCCATCCGTCAACCAGGCAAGATGGTCTACACAGGCGCCTGGTACGACGGGTGGGAGACAAGGAGGCATAACCCGGAGCCCTTTGACTGGGTTGTGATCCGTCTCGGTGTGGCCTCGGGCACAGTCGAGGGTGTCGAGGTTGACACTGCCTTCTTCTCTGGAAACCACGCTCCTCACATCTCAGTCGAGGGGTGCTTCAGCTCTAACGACGAAGAGGTTGTGTCCTGGAAAGGAGGCCGAGGAGGATGGGAGACGATCCTCGGGATTCAGGAATGTGGCCCTTCCCAAAGATTTGGCTGGAAGCTTGCTGAGCCCACTACCAAGCGATTCACACATGTCAGACTGAACATGTACCCAGACGGTGGAATCGCCAGGTTCCGCCTCTTTGGTCACGCGGTGCCGGTATTCCCAGAGGACAAGGAGGCGATCCTTGATCTGGCTGCAGCACAGAACGGCGGTGTCGCTGTGTCGTGCAGTGACCAGCATTTTGGCACCAAGGATAACCTTTTGCTGCCGGGGCGAGGAAAGGATATGGGCGACGGCTGGGAAACCGCCCGATCCCGAACCAAGGGCCATGTTGACTGGACGATTGTGCGCCTGGGCGCCCCAGCATACATACAGAGCTTCATCGTTGACACAGCCTTCTTCCGCGGCAACTTTCCTCAAAAGGTGAAAATCGAGGCTATTGAGTGGAAGTCGGCAGGCGAGCCTCAATCCGACGACAAGGGATGGATCGAAGTCGCGGAGCCCAGCAAATGCGGTCCGGACCAGGAGCACAACCTAGGCTGCTCGTCACAAGACAAACCCTTCACGCATGTCAAGCTCGTGATGATCCCGGATGGAGGCGTCAAGCGTCTTCGCGTGCATGGCAAGCGAGCCTTGTAGGGAGGGCAATGTTGCACCCGCGATTTGATCTTGTTTATCCAACCTCCCAGTGATAGGAGAGAGAAAATTGAAAGTTCCTAAGCACAGGCCTTGAATCATGTGCATTCATTGCAAATTGAAGACGAGACTAGATATCCATCTGTATGATCGCAGTTATTGGTAGTAGGAAAGGTCACCCAAGTTCTCGCTGGAGGAATGCTGTACCGTAGGCGGCGGGCGGCGCACGGGCCACTAGGGCCTGGAAATTGGCTGGAATCCAGAATGATGTTGATAAGTCCATACCAGACCTTACCCAGTTATCGGGCACCGGCACGGCTTAAGCGACCTCAACACACCACACCCCTGCGAAGACGACAGCATCGGCCTCAACCCAACGAACACTACACGTCGCTCGTTGCGGCAACACTCGGCGACTTCTAAGCTGGCCAGAAGTATGCAGCCTTGCCTGACTGCCTTTCCACCCGGTTGAGAAAGCCCATGCCTTCCGACCTGCACAGTCATGGACCTTGGCGCCACTGATGGAGGGGCCCACGGCGGCTTCGAGTCGGGAGAGGAGGAGAAGAGGAAATCGCGGGAGCTACCGCCAGACTTGCCTAAGTCCTTGGATGATCGAAGAAGACCCAAGGAACTAATCCCAGAGGCTGAGATGTACGATGGATGGCAAGGTTCGTACCAGTTCATGCATCTTTGTAAGCTCACTCGACAGCTCTCTAACTCGCCCTCGTGCAGGCCAGTCGCAATTTCTCACCTCGCCGATGCTTGCGAAGCCCTTGAGCTTTAGCGAACTCACCCTCGACGACCCTGACTATGATGCGGACCTCACTAAAGGCGTTCCGGACAGCGACACCAGACTCATGGAGATGCTCGCTGCCCAGGCAGCCCATTCTGCCGCCGCCGGCCTAGATGACGAAGACGCTATTGCGTCTAGCGACAAACTATCCGAGGATGAGAAAAAAGATATGTTGCAGAAGGTCCTCAATATGGCAGCCAGCAACGGCAACGTGGATCAGGTCAAGAAGATCTTGGAGGGTGATGCCAAGCAATACGTGGATGTCAACTCCCCAGACGAGGATGGGACCCCACCCTTAATTTATGCCTCCTGCTTTGTAAGTGTTACTCCAGTCCCTCTCTTCCTCTCTCCTTTCTATATGGATACTAACCTCGCCTTGTTGCAGGGACATGAGAGCGTCGTGCAAGCCCTGATTGATGCAGGGGCGGACGTGGATAAGCAGGATCGAAATAATTGGAGTGCCCTAATGTGGGCAATGACAAACAGACACAAGGGCATAGCAAAGCTACTCCTGGACAGTGGAGCGTCAGCCGAGGCCAAGACATCATCCGGTCGCACTGCCTTTGATTTTGTCGCTCCAGATAGCGAAATGTCCTTCTATCTACACGACAGCGGGTATAACATTGGCAATGCTGGTGTCACCGACGATTTCTATAATCCTGGGTTCGCCCAGGACAGGTTTGAAGAAGAAGCGGAGACTGAACTACGTCGCCGGATGATGATGGAGAGTGCCCGCGATCTCGAAGTCGACCTGGGCAATGTGGGAATGGACGATCAGCCAGAGGTAAGTTGTCGGCCCATCAAGTAATCTGCCAATGGTTGTTAACGTGATTGTAGACGCTCGACGAGATAGAAGAGGAAGAACAAGAATTTGACTGGACGCGTTGCCTCCACGATCAGATGTTCGTCTTCCAGGAGACCGAGCTTGACCAACTTTTGGATATCGTCATCACCAACATGACACCCCAGAGATCGCCGTCGCAGAAGCCCGTTCCTGCAAACATGATATTCCTCAGTGCGAGATATGCGCACTACCATGCCAGTCCCGAGCTTCTCGAGAAACTGCTCGTCACGGCAATGGACAGGATCAACGATGTCGTGGAGGAACACCAATGGGACATGACAATCTTGGCATTTTGGATCTCAAATGCCACATTACTATTGCACTACTTGAAGAAGGATACCGGGCTGGTGGAAGCCACGACAGATTTTCAGGTGCAGCTTACGGAACTCATCAACGAGATTTTCATCCTCATCGTGAGAGACGCCGAAAGGCGGCTCGACAAGGTGCTCGATGCGGCCATGCTGGACCATGAGACCATCCCTGGCTTCGAGGACATCACCTTTCAGAACGAATGGAAGATCTTCAAGCGCAAGAAGGAGGTTAAAGAAGAACCCCTGGAAAGACGGTATCGGCCACCTTCTCCTAAACAACGAGCAAAGCCGGCACCGCGAAATGTCACCTCACTGCTGTCCTCGACGCTCTTTGTCTTGGATCTCTACGACATTCACTCCGTCATCACGGCACAGATCGTATCGCAGCTACTCTACTGGCTGGGTGCCGAGTTGTTCAACCGCATTATGTCGAACCGGAAATATCTCGCACGCACGAAAGCGATGCAGATACGAATGAACATTTCAACATTAGAGGACTGGGCTAGGACCAATAACCGGCAGCCGGAGCACTTTGAACATGGTGAGATGAAATCGACGGGAGAAAACACCATCGATGCTGCTCGGAGACACCTCGCGCCCGTGATACAGCTGCTCCAGTGGCTCCAGTGCTTCTCATCCCTGGGCGCTGACGACTTGGAGGCGCTGGTAGGGACGTTGCAGCAGCTCAAATCGCTCAGCGCGCAGCAGCTGATCCATGCTGCCAACCACTACCGGCCTGAAGTCGGGGAGAAAGGCTTGCCCAAGAGCGCGATGAAGTATCTTGTGGCAATCCAGAAGGAGGCGGCACTCCGACGAGAAAGGCAGCGGAGCAAAGCTGCATCACCCAAACCGAAAGGAGCACCGGACAGCGCCCCCTCGACGCCTGCGAAGAGCAAATCAAATGGCCGTGGGGACGAGACACCCTCGAGTATGCTCGAGACGCCGAACGCAAAGACGGCCGACTCTGAAGAAGAAGAGGAAGCGCCCGAGCATCTGCTGCTGGATCCGGCCCTCATGCTTCCATTCTCTTTGCCTTCGGCGACTGACATGCTAGTATGTTACGGTGCAGGATTCGGCGGTGTGAACAGGGAACGAGAAAGGAAGTATATTCCTACAGTGCCACCAGAGTTCCTGGCCAAGTTGGAAGTCAGCAACAACGCAGGCAAGAAGCCCATGTTTGGAGAAAAGGACTGGGAGAATGAGGATGTTTAGTGGTTCAAACACCCGACGATGGACGTGCATGAATGCATGCATGCCATCACGACGACTGTCATGACAGATGACAAATAGTCTTTTCTTTTTTTCTTTTGGACGTTATCACTGCATAGAGCTGAGCCCGACAGCCATCCACAATAGAGCGTTGCAGTTGTGCCCCTGCAGTAGCGCAGGCTTCCTCGTCCCAAGCATCACCTGTAGAATCCTCTTTTTTTTCGTGTGTGTGATGGCGTGGGCCACGATGCAAATGCAAGCTGCAAGGGACCGACTGACCGGTGCCAGCGCAGAACACGTCACGGACGTTGGGCCGTTGGGCCAACGAAGCCCCAGCTGGCCAGGTACGAGCGATGTGGTAACCATCCGCAGGTGATGCTGCAGCAATCTCACGCAATTGCATTCACACTCTCTTGCTCTCATTCAACGGAAGGACAAAAGAGAAAGAAAAAAAAAGCAAGTGTCGGTGAAGCTTATGCAGGTACGAAAGACGTGGACCAAAACAGAGGTCGATCGGGAGAAAAGAGTTCGATGATCCTCGCGACAGGGACCGGCCAGCAATTGACGTGTAAGGGCCCTTCCTAAAGCAGTCTTTCGCCCCGAATTATTTGCTTTTTGTGCAATTTTGACAGCTTGGATCTACTTGTAGCCCGGGCAAATCCAATAGCTCGGGATTGCTGTAGGGTGGAGAACCAAAAGAAAGTGCAATGCTGTCAATTGCTGACAAGACGAAATGATTCTAAGACTTTACGAAGTAGTTTACGTCCGAGGCTCGACCGAGCAGTCTTGCTCAGCGATGGGCGAAAGACAGTCTGGGGTCCGGATCACCTCCTGTCCCGCTTGGTGTCTCTCCTCGGATTGAACTTTCTCCCGCCATCATTCAAGTATGAAACTAAACCTCTGCCCTCGTGACAGGCCCGCCCAGTCCCGATGCGGCACGGAACTCAAGACGGCATATCGGAGGCAGCTGGCTAAATTGGAAAACGGTGGGTGGCGGCATCAGCTCTTGATGTCTTGCGTAACCAATCGTGGCCATTTTACCAGGTATCTTGGCTGGATGGAGAGAATTGCCGGGCTCGTGAAAGGCCCTTCCCCTCCTTGCTTCGAGGATTTGCAGCCGGGATTTTCTTGGCCCAGCTCGCAAAGCTTAGGAAGATCCCAATCATGCAAACCATGATGTCTCGTGGACGCAAGACCTATGGTGGAGTGGCAGCCTACTGGCAGGTAAGGGTCCTTCTTTTGCTTGTTGCTTTTTGGACTCTGCGCTAGTTTCGGCTGAACCAGTTGGCTCCCGGGCGATCTCATGTAAAGCACCATTCACTGATGGCGCTTCCCGGGCCCCTAGTCCGGGATACGGGATCATCACTACCTCGAATGTGTCTAGGCTTTCAGCAATAATCATAGCGTCGAACAACCAAGCTGAGTTTGGAGCTTGGGAGGGAGCAAAAGGACAGTCATTATCCCAAGCCGGCCACTCGTTGCCGTGACGAAGCATGCAAGGAGTGAAGCAGGCCCTACCGACGGAGAGGTCCAGGTTCGAGAGAGGCCCAAGGCGGGGTATTGCCGATATGAGGATCCCCTTCTAGACTCCATCTATTCTGGCGATCCGAGGCCAAAAAACAAGTGCACCGATGAGGTTTGGAGGATCTGGGCACTTTATTCTCGCTGCAGCTCGAAGTCTTTTGCCGGTGAAGGTGTGTGGGCGAAAACTGTGGCGGGAGACGGGACGAAGATGAACTCAGGTCGGTGAGCCAATCCCATTACATGTTTCGCCACACACACCACCCATCAAGTCGCTCGCTGTTTTGTTTCCTTGGTGGTTTATTCCGGCCGCAACCAGAGACGGACGGTACCGGTGCCGCCTGGTCTCAAGATGAACCCCTCCATCCCTCTGACCAAGACCCGCAGGCTAGACTGGCAGAGGAGCAGCAAACAAATCCGTGTTGCCAACGAATTTCCCAACGCATATTGCAAGCAAAGCCAAAGCCTACCTACCTAGGTAGTCTTGACGAGACGTGGCATGGTTGATGTTGACGTTGACGCTGGGCCTGACTAGGTATTGTGAGGAATGTACTGGTATGAATACCTCACAAGCAACGCTAGAAAGGACAAAGGCCCAGTAGCTTGGGGAGCTAAGACAACCTAAACGGAGGGCGGACGTGGGGTTGCCTGTTTTGATCCAACTTTTGGTCAATACCCACGTCCTAATCCCATAATCCCGGCTTCCTTGTTTGCTTGACTGCTCAGGTGCCGATGCATGAGATCCATGGAGCGCTGAGCGGTGCGTTCAAGTCCCAGGAGCATCTGGCAATGCCGGGATGGTGGGCAGGTGGCACATTTTCACTGGCAGAGAGCGGTTTGTGAGCCCATCAAGCGGCCAAGTGGACGGCGGTGGGGACTTTTATCAGATGTGTGTGTGTGTGTTTATTGCTTCTGCCAACACCTACGAGAGATGTGACTGGGCCGGGTCTGGTGTGAGTGAGACACGCAGGTCGAAGGGCCGGTCTTGGTGTGTTGACAAGTTTCTTTTTTTCTTCTTCTTTCCACCTTGATGAGGATGGGCAACAAACAAGCCCTCCTCGGTAGGTGCGAGGTGCGTCGACCTGCCTAGCCATCTGGAGCATGAGCTACCGACGGTGCCTACTTCGTACCTACCTGTTTTGTTCCACCCCACAAGGCCAGGACGAGGCCATGCCATCTCATCATCAGTCTGCATTCCAGTTGGCAAAGTAATACAAAAGTCCAAGCCCGGATGCCCTCTTGAGAGTTCTCTTTCTCGACCCGCCCTGCATGGACTTACCTACGGTACCTATCTGGCTCTGCCGTTGTCATCCCCGGTTTTTTGTTTTCCATTCCCCTTTCAGTGTCCCGTCCGTCCCATGACATTTGCCTGTGCCAGACGGACCACGTCTCTCCCCCTCCTTCAACTCGAGCCAGAAAGTAATTTATCTGTGATCCGCTCCTACCTAGCTTTGTCTTCCCGGGAAAAGGCAGTTTGTCCTCCCTCTTTCCTGGAAACCTCTTCTATCGGCCATCCTCGACCCAGAAAAGCATTCTTATACTGTCACAAGAACCTGCTTCCCTCAACCTCGTACAAAGACCCAACTTGTCCTGCAAAGCTATCTGACTTGTCGGACCGGACATTCCAGCTCTGGCTTGCAAAACGAAATATACAGCGGGGACACTGCCCATTTATCCTGCCCCATCCAGCCTTCCCGGAGCACTTCGCCAGCAGCCATTGTACTCCAGCCAAACTTGGTGACGCCCGTCGAGTCCGGCCAGCCAATTGTCCTCGGCCGCACGGTTACACGACAAGTGCATCAGACCAGGATCTCCAAGGCCGTCCCTCTGAGATCCGGCCTCAACGTGTTCCTAGCGGGTTTCAAGCCCCAACCACCGCACGCGCAGCGGCAGCAGCCTTTGCAGGTAGTCCTGGGCACTGGCCCTGGCCCTGGGGTTATAAAACACCTTCCCGGTTCCGTGTAAGCCGCCAAAATCCAGCGCTATGGCACCCCAAAGATTCGCCAGTGTCAAGCTCAAGAACCGCCCGACCGTGCGAGTCGCCGCCGCTTTTCGTGACGACGCAAGCCTAGTCGCGCTCCGATATGAACAGACGGTCCAGGCCGAACCTCCAATTCATATAATCCCCATCCCACCTCGCAACCCGGCCCGCGCCAGTCGCCCTCCCTCAGGTTTCTCGCCAACCAACTCTGTTGCATCGCCAATAGTCGTGGTCCCGCCGTCTGCTCCTCCCCGAGAGCAGCATCCTGCTCTGCGCATTCGCTCAGACGTCTACACAGTTGATGAGGAAAACAAACGCGACTCTGGCCTGGCATCGACCCCGTCGACCGTGACAACCCGCGAGGAATCTCTGGAGGATTTATCCTTCGACAAAGCCAGTGGATCCGACCAGGACCGATCATCGTACACAAGCGACCGGAGCAGCTTCACCACTACCACCACATCCACTTCACAGCCACAGTCCCAGGCACTGTCGCGTGCTCAATCTCCCGAGGCCGGAGAAATCACGCTCGAGTCTGTCTGGGAGGATCCAAGACCCGCGCCGCCGCATCCCGTCGCTGCGCGGGATGCAAATGCCAATCCGGCCAAGTCGAGCTCCCGCCGTTCTGGAAAGACTAACCGCCTGAGGAAGAAGAGCATGGCCGAAAAGGGAACTGCGACGCCGGCTCCGCCAACCGTTGCGGCCAATGCGACATCAGGGAACCCACAAGTGCCGGGAGCCAGCACCCCCAGCCCCGCCAGCACCCCCGTTGACAAGGATTTCACTCCTATCAATACGAGCATCCCAACCGACAAATTGCTCGAGGATGATTTCCTCACGAAACTGTCCTTCTCTAAAAGAGGCAGTGTCATGTTCGGCGGGAAGCGCGCATTCCTCGCACCTTCACTCATGGATCGATCCTCTGAACGGGCCCCTGGCGCAACGGCGGCAACGCGCCAAAACTCTGCCGCCGCGACGGGCGATGCGACAAACGACCCCAAGGACCTCCCCAAGGCGCTGTCGATACCAAACATCCGGGTCCTGTCGGTAGAAGTAGAGAGGGAATCACAAAAGGTGAGATCGCTCTATGAATCTGGCGAGGCTCTCAATTGGGAAGACGGGGGCCAGTCCTCGTCGCTCGGCGAGCGCCTGGAGCCCACCGCCGAGCTCCCATCTCAAGGAGACGAGAAAGTCGCGTATGGTTTCCTAGTCAATCCATCTGCTCAACCAAAATCTACCATACTAATTCGTACCTTCTTCCCTCCAGTTCTCCTTCTTCTCAAGACGACAATGCAACCCTCCTACGACCGTCAAGTACGCACCGGTCTTCTTCGCCGCAACGAGATAGGTCGCCAGAGAAGGCATTCGAGCGCGCTGGTGGCATTGAGGACTGGCAAGATGTGAATGATGGCGATGTCGATCGTTATGGATTCATTAGTCCAAAGAGGCCCGTGTCGCGGGCTACGACCTCAGATACGCGCTCGGAGAGGCTGGCTCCAAGGAGGAGGAATGTCCTGGTTAAGAGACCTGACTCTGCTGTCTACTCGTCGTCGCCGCTGGCGGTTCCTCGTGGACCAAGCAGGAAGGTCTCTGCACGCTCGCTACACACACAGAATTCCGAATTCTCTACTGCGTCGAGACGGTCGGCGCGGTCCTCTCTGCGCACAGCGACTAACTTGCTGCCGCACAACAAGGACAGAAAAGTGCTGGATGAAGCCGGCGATATGCTGACGCTGACGCCCGGGCTGTCAGACATTGCGGAGGACGAGCAGGGTGATAAGATCTCTGAGGCTCTCAAGAGGAAGGAATGGGAACGATCTGAAAAGTGGCGCAAGATGGCCAAGGTTGTCAAGAAGGGCGAGGACGGCGAAGGCATGGACTTCGAGTTTGACGTCAAGAATCAAAAGTTGATTGATCGCACTTGGAAGGGCATACCCGATCGGTGGAGAGCGGCTGCTTGGTACTCATTCCTGGCGACCAGCGCGAAGCGGCAGGGCGCAAAGACAACGGATCAGGACATCATTGCGGCCTTCAAGCACTTGCAGGAGATCAGCTCGCCAGATGACGTCCAGATCGACCTCGACGTGCCGAGGACGATCAACAGGCACATCATGTTTCGGAGGAGGTACCGGGGTGGACAGCGGCTCCTCTTTCGAGTCCTCCATGCCATCTCTCTGTACTATCCCGACATCGGGTACGTGCAGGGCATGGCTTCTCTAGCTGCCACCCTCCTGTGTTATTACGATGAGGAAAGATGCTTTGTAATGCTGGTGCGTATGTGGGACTTGCGCGGACTCGAGAACCTCTACCAACCTGGCTTCGACGGCCTGATGACGGCCCTCAAAGACCTCGAGAAGCACTGGCTGGGAAACAGAGACGTGGCGCGCAAACTAGTGAGTCGCCTCTCCCCTTCTGCCTTCGTGCCTGGATCCCTCTCCCTAAACTAACTTGTCGACAGAACGAGCTTTGTATCGATCCGACGGCGTACGGAACGCGGTGGTATCTGACCTTGTTCAACCTCTCCGTCCCGTTCCCGGCGCAGTTGCGCATCTGGGACGTGTTCATGCTCCTGGGAGATGCACCTCTTCCTGACAAGGCCGACGCAAAGGCAAAAGCCAAGGCAGAAGCCAAGGCAAAAGACAAGGACAAGGACAAAGAGCAGCCTCAGGAGGCAGCCGCGCTCTTCAGCCTTGACATCCTCCATGCCGCCAGCTCTGCACTCATCCAAGCGTTGAGGGAAGTGCTGCTCGATTCTGATTTTGAGAATGCCATGAAGGCACTGACCTCGTGGGTCCCAATCAAAGACGAGGATCTGCTCATGAAGGTGATACGTACAGAGTGGAAACAGCACAAGGGGAAGAAGAAGGGTTAAGGAACACCTGACGACGCTCTTCCTTGTGGTGATACCCATTGCTGCTGTCCGCTACACGCAGCTTGTTCCACTAGCACTTGGGGGCAAGTGTTGGATATACGCCCATGACCGCCTCTTCAGGCACCACTGTCTTTCATTTGTCACATTCTCCCCTTTCGGAATTTCATTTTCACAATGGGGTTTTGTTAAAGTACTGACACAAAAAATGCTGGTCGAAGGTGGTGGTGCAGTGTGGACATGGACATGACGGACCTGTTTTATTCATGTCATGGTTGAGAAAAAAAGCGAAAGCGCTCGTTTTACTGTTATATACCCCTTTTTTCTGCAAATGTTGGGAGGAAGAAGACGCTGCTTAGCTGGCTTGGAAGGCGAAGGCGAAGGCAAATAGGTAGAAGCGCCATAGCACTGAAGGTCATTTCTGGACTCAGGAAGGCTCTGGTCCGTGAACTTGGGGAGGAATTGAATTCAAGATTGTTTCATACCCTCTAATTTGATCGAAAATCACGCTTCTGTGTCTCTACCTTTGTCACGCATGTCTTGGTGTCGTTGGATCATCTCAAAAAAAAAAAAAAAAGGAACGCCACAGTGACTTTGGTCGCACGACCTTTTTTTTCTCACCACCCCTCCTTTTGCAAAGTGGACTTTTTTCTCCCAATCTGGTCGTACTGTGGCTGGTGATGCACTAGGACCGGCCGGGCCGGGGGGCGGTGATGCGGCGGTTCTCTGCGGCCCGTGCGCTTTCCTAATCTGGACTCCACCTCCGGGGCCACGGCGCCGGTCCGGATCCGGGGCCCCTCGGACAAGGGGCTTCCGACCACCACCGACATTCTGTAGTTTCCACTTCCAACAGCCTTCCCCCGGGCTCTGGTGTATCGTGTGTGGTTCCAGAGTCATATGATGCTGCCCCTTCCACGGGAGCGAAGCACATAGCCAAGAAAAATTACAGTCCTTCCCTGGAAGCCATTTGCTTGTTGCGTGAGGGGGGTGAAATTGCGTGTGTGTGCGTGTGTGTCCTTTTTGGCAATGGAAATATGACAAGGCATAACTAGCTGTAGTGAGCCTCTCCCAGCGCTCTGCTGATGCTCGAGCTCCCGGATGTGTGTCACTGCCAAGTAGGCTGCGACAAATACGTTGATTTCTACCGTAGAATCAGCAGTAGTAAATCCACCAACAAAAGACCTGCCCTGTACTTGAATGTCTCAAAGCCACAGGAAATTTTTGGAATACACTACATCAGCAACCATCTTCACGTATAGATTTCCAGTAGCTCCGAGCCTCACGGCCGAGTCAGGTGAGTACTGAGCCCTGCATTGAAGCTGCACCGTGGGCACCACCCTCTCGACGAGCCCGCTTCATGCACGCTTGGCGTCCATGTACACTTGGTACCGTCGCTTCTTTCGGCCCTACATGAACCAGCACAGCGTAGTCTGACGTACAGGGTGTAGACGTATCCGTAGCTGGGCCGAATCAAAGCTGCCCGAGCGCGACTGCACCCAAGCGAGCCTGCATAATCTTACCAAGGGTGCCGACTTCCATCCCGTCGCTATAGGGTCTCGACCTAGATATAGTTCGTCGCAGCATAAGCACCAGGCATAGTTTTTGATTGGCGCCCATCTAGGTAGCATTGCGTTCAAACCCCTACGACAAGGCTGCCGCTCGCGGATGATCAGGGAGAAACGCAATCCTCGGCGGGACGAGCCGCCTGAACAGAATCTGCCGAGCCACGCCGGGTCATGGCACGGATGATGGCTTCTCATCAGGGGAGGGTTTGGCCGCACGGACTGGATGAGTCTGCATTGGGCAGGCGCACCTCGAATACCGTGCCGTCTCTTGCTCCATGATCGTCCTATGCCCAACCGCTCCATCTCACTAATCGCTTGTTAATACCCCCGAGATTGCGCAACAGAGTGGACCGCTTCGAGGCCCGGCAATGTGCGACAGAAACTCGGCACAGATTGCTTGGGAGTGCATTTGCAACCCCATTCTTGCGCCCGGGGACTGCTTCCGGCCCCAGGTCGCCGACCTGACCTCGTCATTGCGCCAGAGCACCCTTGGCTGCCGGCGGCAAGAGCCGCGCCATGGCTGAAATTGGCTCTGGCATAATGCATCGGACCGTGGGAAACCTCTTCCCATCTACCGACCATCGATCCCGAGCTTCCCAATGACAAGTGCTGGTTTAGGTAATCGGACTTGGCATCTCTGGCACGTCAGACGGAGGCTCCAAAGCGGCAAAGTCCCGACATCACGTTCTCTGAAGCATTTCATATAGACTGATAGATGTTCCGCTACTGCGTCAATGATAGTCAGCGATTGATCAGCGGTCAACAAGGATGCGGCATCGATGGCGCAATGAATTGACAAACCGCGATCGCGAACCACCGCGGCTGCAGCGGTTGGGATCAGGCTCCTTCTCTCGGCTGCAGGTTTCACATAGATCAACGGCGTCATTCTTTGATGCGCGTCAAGGCAGCCACGGCTTACAGTCTCTCGTTCTGTCTGGAAACTGGAGTTTGGCCATCGGGTCGTCGGCCCATCAACAGCCATTGGAAGGACTTGGTCGAGGCCGGTCAGTGTAATTACCGCAAGCGCACAGACGCAATGGGCGACTATTTTGAGAGAAGAGTAACCGCAGAAGGGGCCAGACGGGTTCATTGGAACGGTCCAAGCGCACGCATAAGACGCACAGGCGGCCTGGATAAGGCAACAGATCTCCCTCTCCAGAGATTCGCTCTCCCATCCTCAATCCAACGGTAGTTTTTGCGGCAATGATACTCCGCCTTCGCCAGGCAGCCAGTCGCGAGCTCGCGCGGGCCGTCGTCAAGGGGGGGCAGAAAGGAAGGGAGATGTAAGGCCATGCGCGCGGTTGGGCACAAGGCAATATGTCCTGCGGCTATTTATATCATCAGTCAGATTTCCTGCTTTGACTTATAAACGCGCCCGGGAAATTCCCCAAAATAGCAATCTGTAAGATTAAATCCTCTGCCATGTTCCGAAAACAGCATGAATGGAGCAACAAGGTCGGAAGGATTCGTCTGGGCTCATCAGCCGCACAATTCGCTCTGGTAACTGTGGTTGCAATCAGTCGAATTGAATTAGTGTTGACGACAGAGAGAAGAGATTGACGTCTTCCCAGGATAGAAACGTCCCCGTATTGTTGTTGTACCAGTAGGGTTCCCCTTGTCCAGGGCGAAGCGGTAGTTGCCGTGCTTAGATGACTAGATTGATTCTCTAGCCATGGGGGCCACAGTGCCTGAAGCTCGATGCTTTGATCTGCCGCATCATTCCTCGACGTGGGCACCCCAGACCGCCGCTATTCTTGGTGGCCGAGAAGAGCGGAGAGGAGCACCTGGAGCCACCTTTTGGCCCTCGTTCGGATTCGTACGCTATTCGGAGAAGTCCGTGTCTTCCACGCATCACGCAAACAGTTGTCCTGCGGAGTGAGGGGATTGCAGGGACATACCGCTGTGTGTGGTCTCCATATCGTAGTTCACTGATCATCGAAGGTGGCCGGGATCAGCCTGCATACCGCCCCTGGCAGTTCGTATACAGGAGACGCACCACAGTCAGGTCGCTCCATATGCTGCGGCGTCGGCGCATTGCAGGCTCAGGGACGGGACGAAAACAATGAGTTGTACATACCGTCCGGGCATGTCGGTTGCCGTCGAATCTGCTGCCTGCGAGTCTCCTCCCTCGGGCGCTCTTGCAGTCCTGGTGGTGGTGCTTCGAGTGCACGCACCAGGCAGGTCCCGATTTCTTGAGCCAGGGCAGGCGCGATCGCCAAAGATGCGCACTCTGTTGGTGAAACAGCCGACCGATCCCGAATCCGAGTGCACTTGATGTTTCCAAAACGTTTTGTTCGTATTCCAAGTGCGTCCCAGTCTAGCAACTGGGAAAGGGTATATTGGTACATGTAGAGCGAGACAATAACCAACCTGCAAAAAAAAACCAAATAAATCCAACCCCGTTGTTCGCTCTGTTTCCGTCTGCCATGCAAGTGCAAATCTCAGTAAAGCCAAGTAAACCGCCCAATAACTCAATAACTCCTCCATGATGAATGAAGCCTTCTTTGCCCTGCCTTCCGCGAACGGGACCAAGCCCCTGTCCTTGCTCTTGAAACAGCTCTGCGGAGTTTGCTCTTCTCTCTTATGGTTTTTCTGTTCCCGCCCAGCCTTTTCCCTTGGTCGTGATCGTCTAAAAATACATACGCGTACAAAGTGTTAAGTACAGTGAATACATGTTGTGTGTGTGTGTGTGGAGGGGCGCTTTCGAGGTTGCGAAGACGGTCGTTTCGATCCCGTGAAACTCGACTTGACCATTGTGATGAATGGAATTCCACCAGCGATGTTGACACTTGGCCACCAAGTGGGATTCGGCATGACCAGGCGGGCTGGTGATCACCCAAATTTCCTCCCCTAGAAAGCGGAAATTTCGAGACGTGACATTAAAGTTCACCGATCGTCTCGTTCGCGCGTCGATCCCCCGGCTCCACCCTGCGCCTTGTCTTCCAACATCCGCCCGGGGGAGTTCCCCGGCTCGCTCTCGCTCCGTCGCGGCCGCACGTCCGTTGAGCTGGACGCGCGCGGGATCAGATGCGGAGAGGGCTGCTCAGACAAGAGCGACGAGACCGAGTGTGCTCCGGCACGCGGCTGGTGTGTCTGCTGTCGCGAGGGAGGCTCCTCGCTCCCTCTCGCCACCGTGCTGGGCCCGGCGAATTGAATCGGGGACATGGCTCGATGTGAGGACGTCCAGATTTCTGACCTGGGGCGAGCACCGCCCAGCCGGTACGACGAGACATCGCTCCGTTGACGCGCGTGTCCGCGTCTCCTACCCGGAGGAGGGTTCGCGAGGGTAGTGCTCGAGCCAGGGTGTCCGAAGGGGGGCGACCTGGGCCGTTGCTGGTTGCTAGGCGGAGGTGCTGGTTGCTGCGGCCCCGTGGCCTTTCGCTTCCGAGGGGATTCACTTACTGTTTTGCAAACCTCGTTAGCCCGCCGGTCTCAGGAGCGGGTCTTGGTCTTAGACGCACCTGAAGGCGTAACAGACTGGCTGCCGCTGCCGCCTCCTTGGCTGCTTGGAGGTTGCCAATGATGGAAGTAGATGGACGGAGACGGCTGTGCTTCCTGCGGCTGGGCCGAGGGAGCGGACGGGTGCGCTTGGGATGGCGGACCAGAAGGCCCCTGGGCCACGTTGGTGTTGAGATTTGGCAGGCCTGCTCCCAGGGGTCGTGGCGGGCCGCTGTAGCCGCGAGATCGAGTTGGCGAGCCTGGGTAGGCCGCCGAAGACACGAAGCCGCTGTGAGTCGCGTGAGCAGAGCCGGGCGTCCCCGGCATCGGTGCCGTGCCAGAATACTGGCCATAACTGTGGCTCTGCTGGTCCCGTCTATGCTCCGGGGACGCGGGACCGGCTGGCGGGAGGAGCTGGGGCTGGCCCGCTTGCGACATCTGTGATTGCATAACGTGGTGTGCCATTTCGAGTGCCGCCTGGGTGAGCGTGCTGCCTCCCATCCCAGCAAAGACAACTGGCACCATGGAGGGGGGGATGCCGCCCGACAACGAGGTTCGCAGGATTTCGTGCTCCATCTTCCGCTGCTCGAGCCGTAGACTCTCCTGTCTGGTCCTCTCCTCTTCCTGCTTTCGCTTCTCCTCCTCGGCTTTGGCTGCTAGCCATGCCCTCATCGAGTCCTCACCGCTGCCTTGGTGCCATTGCGGCGGAGGGGGCAGATGAGTGCCGTGCTGGTTCGGGGGGATGGACTGCTGGAGAGGAGGCTGTGAGAGTGGTGGGGGTCCAGGGGGCTGAGGATGGCCTCCTGGCGCTTGGGAAGGGTGCTGAGCCAGCGTCATGGCTGCCGGCGGGGGCAGCGGCCTGTGGGAAGAGGACATCTGCTGGACTGCTGAGGGAGTGCTTGTGCGAGGAGGCGTGGGATTGGTTCTGTGCCCAGTTTCTTGGTAGACCACCGGAGGCGAGAGCCGGTACGTGCTGGATGGCGGTGTCGGCAGGTCATGAACCGACCTGTAGCCGTAATGCGCAGGCTGCTTGATGGTGAGCATTGCTTTCGAGACTTGGATGGCAAGTAGACGCAGGCGAAGAGATGACGAGGACGAGGCACAAAGCAGAACAACAAGAGGAGGAGGAAGAGGAGGGAGGGACAAGAGGGAGAGGTGTAGGCCCAAGGTATAGGTGAGGTGTGAGGAGACGAGAGGAGACGAGTGACTGTGTTCCTCCAAAGGAACCCAAGGTGGATGGGAGGATATTCAGCGGCAGCGGGTGAAAAGTGTAAGTAGAGGGAGTGCGGTGGAGGGGAGGTGGTGTTAACCTTTTGAGGAATAAGCTGGATGTGACGGCCAGCTTGGTATTGAGAGCAGATGTGAGAGGCGGGGCGGTTGATGATAAAGCTTCGAGGCCAACCAGCCGAACCTCATCTGGTCGATCACCTGTGCCGCATAAGGCTAAGCAGCTTCCAAAGTAGGTAATTATCAGACCCGTTGAGTACAGTATACAAAGCCCAGCTGCAAGGTACTAGTCCAGGGCAAGGAGGGCCTAGCTGTGGTGAGGGCTGAGGTACCTTGGTAAGCCCCTCTGGGGGGAGGAGGACTTCGGGAGAGGAAAGAGGTAGGACTCGACAACGCTGAGGTGGGAGCAATGTTACCGCACTGGGCTCCTTTTTCCCTCTCCAACCCCAGACCTGGCTGTCCCGTTTCTCGTCTGCGGTGCTTGGAATGTGACCGGAAGGCAGGGGAGACGAGGAAGCCAGGAACAGGGACGGAGCGTGAAGAAGTAATTTGAAGGAACGGAGACGGTGAATTCAGATTGTTGGGTTTTTTTGCTGGTGGTGGGTTTATTGGCAAGCAACAGTAACAACAACAACGGTGGGGTGGCAGGCAGAGGACGAGGCAGGTGGAGCTGTGGGCGTGCCTTGGTTATCTCCTTTGAGAACAGCGTGTATCAGAAAGAGATTGATGCATGGGGGTCGAGAGAGGGTAGTTGGGCAGAGGGTCCGGAGGGGTCTAGAGAGCGTATGAAAGGAATGAAGACACCAGCCGGTGGACGGGTCCGAAATAGGCCAGGTAGAGACAGGACGGAGAGACGGAGAGAGTGACAGAGAAAGAGAAGGGGAGGGAGAGACTGATGGAGAAGACAGAAGACAAGTGGGTGTGTGTGTGTGTATGGAGCTGTCTGTCTCTCTGTTCCCAGAAAGGCCCAATGCAGACGAGGTGCTAGGTAAAGTAGGTTGTAGGTAGGCGAGGTAGCGTGGCTAGGAGGAGTATGTAGGTAGGAGGAGGGTGGAAGAAGAGCAGTGGGTAATATGATGGAGACCCTGGTGTGTGTGTGTGTGTGTGTGTGTGTGTGTGTGCGTCGTTCTAGGAATCTGGTCTGTCGGTGCTGTCTGTGTGGTGAGTGGTCTCTCCTCTCATGTGGTTTTTTTTACGGAGTGAGTGTATGTGGTGTGGTATTTCCTGCTGGCTGGCCCTTGACTGTCTGTGGGCCAACGCATGTACATACATAGACACACATATATACATATATACATATATACATACATGCATATATACATGATACTAACATGCGGGCATAGATACACACACAGATGTCGGTCCGCGTAAAACTGGCTACCAAGTCCCTAGGCAGACGCTGGCAAGTCCAAGCCAGGCTGCTGTTCCCAAAATGGGGTCAGGATGGGGCTGTTTTTAGCATCGAGACCCTTGTTGGGCGTCTCTGTGCGTGTGCGTGTGTGTGTATGGTTTTTTTCCTGATTGTCAAAGCTCTAGTGGTCGAGGGACCCCTCGGATCAGCAGGAGACAAGAGAGAGAGAGAAGTGGTAGGGAGGGTGGTGTGGAGTGGAGTGGATCGAAGCCACAGGGCAGGCAGGCCAGACGAGAGGCCAGGGTGGTGGTGGAGGAGGAGGTTCTGGGACTGTATGTAGGGACATAACTTAGGTACGGTATTGTGTCGTCTGTCCGCCATTGCAAGTGAGTGAGCGAATCCCCAGGTCAGCCACCGCAAGATGAAAGGACCAGACGGACGAATCGACTACTGTGGGGGGGGGGGGGGTGTGTAAGTAGGGGACTGGGCGGGCTAGGGGGGGTAAGGAGAGAGGAGAGACCAGGACCAGGACCAGGGCAGAGACGAGAGCACTGACTGTACATGCAGACGCCAGATGGATTACTCGGTACGTACTTGTATGGCATGTATATACATGCCTACCTGGGTATACCTTATACAGACATACATGCGAGAGCTTGCACACCCCCCTCCCCCCCATGCGAGCAAGTCGCCCACAGAAGACGATGACGCGAGGAAGCAGAAGCGGAAGAAGAAGGGGACGACTAACTAGATGCCCTCATACCCTTCACCAGTGTCCTAGCTCGTACATACAGGGTTCTAGTATGGGTGGGCTCGGTGGCTACTGCGGCTGTTAAACGCCGCCAGACCAGAAACCAGCGGCCTAGGCCACAGCTAGTCGGCGGCACCGGTTGTGATGGAGATCTTGACGGCATAACTGTTGAATGCGACGGCAGAGGCGAGTATTGTTTCGCTAGCTCCAAAGGACGCATTTTAGACGAATGGGGCGCCCGGCGAGGGAAAAGAGAGACACGAATGCCACAGACCGCCTGAACTGTGGCTCCTCCATTGTTGCGAATCGGGCCAATCCACCGCGTCCGGGACGAAGCTATCGAGTTTTAAGGTTTTTGCTCCCAAGGCCCTAGCAAAGGGCAGCTTAGCTGAAACCGAGCCTTGTCGTTGGCTTTAAGGCGGGCACTAGGAAGGGATCGTCAAGAGGAAGTGGACGAGAAACGATCTAGCGAGCGCGCTCTACCAGAGAGTTATGTGGACTGCAAGGTACAGGTAGGCAGAGCTGGCAGAACTTGGTTCGCGGGTGCTTCCATGCTGGAACCAGGCTGGCCGCGAGAATGGTTCGCTCCACGGATCAGCAAGCATCTGATGGATGGCAAAGGCCAAATGAAGCCTGGGAATGGGGACATGAAGGGCCTTGTGGGCTGGATGGGGGGTTGTATCTGACTGGATACTCAGTTCGTTTGATGGATGGAGATGTGGGTAAGGTACAAGTAGTGCTGTCGACTCCCTGGCTGCTTAGTGTGTACATTATGCACTGTACCAACAAGGGCATAAACTTGGTCAGGACGACAGGATGGCAGGACGACATCAAACCGATCTTCTCGGTTGGCCGTGGTTCATGCGGGGCAAATCAGGTTTAGGTTCAGGTTCAGATTGGCATCGCCGTTAACCTCAAACGGGCAAAAGAGCGTTGCGTCCTCCGGCCAGAACAGGCCTGGCGGCTATTTTGTCGCTTTCACTCACCACAGCAGCAGTTCGAACTTCAGAGGATAGGTATGCAAGTGCGAAGAACGTACGTAGGAACCAGCTAGACAGATGACAGATGACATATGAACGTGTTCCCCGGAGCAGAGGCTTGCTCTTGGTTCATGGACCGGCCATCCCAGCGAGTCTCCAAAGTTCACTCTCGCCAACGCAAGTCGCGTCTCACTCAAAGGGCCACCAAGCGCGCACGCGCTCCAGCCGATGTGTGCGTTGTAATCATCTGTTATTTGATCTCGCTAGAACGGGTAAACAACCACCGGGGCAGGGGGGGAGGCGCGTGTCCGCTTTATCGAGACAGGTTCGATTCTTTGTTGCCTGCCTCTCGGGACGTACCACTAGTTTTGTAGGCACGGAGGGACGCAGATGGAGCACCAGTGGACGCAGCCTCGAAATGGGCATCTGGCCAGAGCTGACCACAAGCGTACTTCCTCTTCTGCACCGCTCTGCTCCCCAGCCCTGTCGCTTCTACAAGTACAAGTAAGTACCTGACCCAATGTGGAGCTCAATGATCAAGCCAGGCAGGCAGGCTTGCCAGGGCATCCGCCGGTGCCTCGGTCTTGGATCGATGAAATCGGTCATAATTCAGCCTACGTTATGAAACCAGTCTGTCACTTTTGCATCCTACGCCACCCCGAAAAAGCAAAGAAAGGCAGACAAGAGCAAAAAAACGAAGAATATGACCCAGGCGACATGGGCATGACTTTGAAGGAGCGGTTCAAAAAGGTCGAATGCGGCATAGCTTGGCTCCGACACCTCGATCCAACGGTGCCCCCATGCTCGATTGTCTTGTTTCATAATCCGGGCCCATTCTCTTTCTGGCCCTGGGTCCCGGCCCCGGCACATCGCTCATCTTTTAGCTGCATGCATGGTGTGTGTGTGTACATACCTACACAAGGTAGGTTGTGTCTGCGAAGCTGCCAGTCTGTGTGTGGCTTGAGACAAGACATACTCGGTGTTTTGCACTCCTGCACGGAAGACACTTTTGACAGGTAGGGAGGCACACATTCTCCGAAGGACTCTTCCTAGCTACAAAGACTTGCAAGCCCTCTGCACAGTACAGCCGAGATAATGACGTACCAGGCTTCGCGCCGTTTTGTTTTGCAGCGTTTAGTCACAACCACACGCAAAGCATATAGCACCAAGTCACTCGCGTGGCCCAATTCGGAAATCGAGACTCGCGCTCTCGCTTAGAATTAAAAGTAAAGTAACTACGGACCTGTTTTGTGATGGTCAAGATTCCCAAGGTTCAACGAGGTTTAATCAATCAGGAGGATCCCTGTCGCCCCCGGTCCGGGATCGTCTCCTCCTCTTCCGCTCCCGGTAATCTTTGTACATTACATCAGGGCCCGGGCGGGGGGTGGTCATCGTGAATAGACCCCCCTCCACTCGGGTCTTCACTGCTCGCTGACTGGCATCAGCAGGAGCAGCATCATGCGTGGAGGTGCAAGCAAGCACAGGGCGACAAGGGCCAGGGAAATTGTCCAAAATTACAGGCATGAGACATGCAGCTCAACAAGGCTCATCCCGGCAGCCACCACCGTAGTTGCAGAGGTGCCCTGGGTTTCATCACAGCGCCCTGCCTGCAGCCGTCCTGAATCCCTACGCACACGTTTACGATGCTCCGTCGACCATGAAGGCCCTGGTTTATTGCCGTCATGACACAGGTACTGGTGCCAGGGCATGTCGTTGGCTGTTGGTCATCGTCTCG